AATCATGATGTTAGCTCATAATATAGGGACATCAGCGAAAGAGAACGAAAGAGAGAAGAATCGAGAAAAAGTGACCTTCGTGGGACTCGAACCCACACCTTCTGCTATCCGGGCAGATGTCCTAATCCAGTTAGACTAGAAGGACCATCTTAATCTCTAGTCTAGCGTTGTGTGATTCATCACAAACGCTAACAGTTGATATGATCTTGATATAAGAAGTTGATTTTTTGATAGAATCCAGTGATAGTTGTGATAACGAAAATCCAATTCCTTGCAGATGGGGCACAAAGTGTCGAGATATTGGAGACGAACGACATTGTTCAAAATATTCTCATCCTGCTGTACATAAACATGCTGATCACCAAATTCCTTGCAAGTGGGGCAGTAACTGTCGAGACATGAACGATGTACAACATTGTAATAAATACTCCCATCCTGATCCAGCGTCATCCGACGAAGATAGTGTAGCATCAATGACTGACACTGATTGAAAAAGACTTGATTTATATGATTATTTTTTTCAGAAGCTTGATTCTAATGATCCTGATGATTTTTATTTTGATAATTATTTATTACGAAGTATGAAAGAATAAAATTGATTATCGACATGTGTTTGGCATCGGAAAGACATGATTATACTGATGAGAATCGTTAGTTGATACATCACACCCTCCTGACCTAGTTAAATTTTTGCCCAAATAAACGACTACGTCAAAAGCAATTGATCACTACGCTGGGATCTTTTGTACACATGCTGAATGGAATGTGTCTGTCGGCGATGGTATGCCGATTTGAAAACACAGAAAAGATGAAGTGTTAATGCTTTGATCGATGATGATCGAAAATAGTCGGATATGGCCGTTGCGCTCCTCCTCCCCATTGGCTCGGATCTGCATAAACAGTGAGTTTCCATTTCTTCGCAAGCAGACTCAAAATAGATTGATCATGACGATGATCGTGAAATCCGGGATAGTTCGGTGATCCTAACACATTTGCGTCATCCGTTACCACTCGACTATCTTGCGCATAGGTCAACCATTCAGATACGAATCGCAGACTAGTAAAACTTCTTTTGACCACAACGAAAGAAGCAAGAGCAGCCAGTGTTGTGGTATATTCTGGTTTATCAGCGTTGAGAATGATCAATGCATCACGCTTTGTTAAAGCTGATTCCTGAATCGAAAAGAAATGAACCACCTCAATATTCATCTAACTTGTCTTACTTTCCAACCCGTCAGTTTGAAAAGAACAATATCCTGATTGGATGTGAGCTGTGTGAGATAAGAAACATTATTGATGAAATTGACAGCCGCATCTGAATATACAATAATATCTCCATCTTGTGCTAAATAAAGTTCTTGCAAGAGAATAAATGGTTTCCACAGCCAGTAGCCAGCTCCTCTCTTCCGATTCAGGATATCTGCATTTCGGCTGACAAACATAGGATCGATATCTAAAATATGTTTGTTGAACATCAAACATTGCCGAATTCCAAACTTTAAACCGGTCAGACAGTTGCTATTTTGTGCATGTTTACAACATCGATGAGCAAAATTAATCAATAACGGGTAGCAACGTTGTTGATTGGCCTTTGTCGGATAATTGTGTATCGTTTGACAAGAAGAAGAATTTAAAAATTTGAAAGTTATTGACCTTGGCGTTGTTTTGTCCTTGAGTATAAACTCCCATACAGAGAAAGAACAGCTGACGAATAAAGCAAGAAGGAACAGAACATGAACAGTACGAGACGTTCGAAATAAATTCAATATATATCCAACTGTTTTTAAGTATACTACGGGCGTTAACAAACACCACAGCCATTCTTCTACCCATTGAATTATCTTCCTCATGTATTTCGTGACCCTTTGCTGTGTAAACATCAATGTCGTTCCACTAATAGGAAAATTTATTTAGAGATATGTAATCCCCATACGAATGGTAAAGTTCCTTTTAACATAATGTTAGGGACGCATTTTTTACCACGTTGAAACTTACTTGTGTCGATTAGATATTAAAAAAATGTAACGAGACATTGTAATTTTTTGCTCGTTTTATATGTGCGTTCATGCACGCAATACATATAAAAAAGGTATATAGAGCAAGCATAGGATGTGTCACTGAATCTTGGACCAGTGAAGTGATATTTTATGTAGTTGATATCTCTTATTGAGGTTGAATAGTGCGTTTAAACACATCGTCATTGATGAGGTAATATGTGAATGATGACATTAAGAATAAGTAAATGTCTGACAAATTCAGTTGGGAATGTGCATACATATCTACAATCGTTTCGTGCTATTAAAACGAAATAGAAATGTTTCATTTCGAACAACATACGTGTTTTTTTGGTATTCAAAACTGATATGTATGTCTACTTCGAACTGTAATGGAGAAGATGTAAACGCGAGTGCACGATCTGTAATTTCATTCATACTCTCACTTCCATTATTAACATAGATCGTAGTAGAGTTTGATGGAAAATATTAGAAAGAATAGCAAATGTCGAATCGGATTTTATTCTGAGACGTGGTACAGAAAATGACGCAAGCAAATGTTATGCATTTTGTGCTTTGAAAAGGAAAAAATATCGAATAAATGATTTATATGCAACACGAACTTTCAATGATCAGTTCATAAGAGAAAATAGTCTTTTGTAAAATTTCATCAATAAAATTCAGCAGTGTTAAGATAATTGGCATTCGAACTGACTCCACCAGCAAGTAGTACTATTCCACTAGGTAAAATCGATGCAGAGTGATAAGATCGTGGAATGGACATATTGGTGTTGAGTCTCCATGTGTTTGATGACACGTTGTATATTTCAACGCTACTATAAAAAATATTACTGTCAAACTGCCCACCGGTAACTAACACGTTCCCATTTAATAAGACAGTTGCAGTGTGCACTTGTCGTCCAACATTCAAATACCCTCCTATTGACCAAGTATTCGTCGATGAATTATATAATTCAGTACTGGTTATACCACCAGACCCGCTATTCCCACCAATGACTAGTACTTTTCCATTCATTAACATAGATGCCGTGTGAGATGACCGTTGGGCACTCATACCTGCTGCTAAGGTCCAAACACCACTTGCTGGATCATATAATTCAGCACTATTGAGAAAAGTACTCGCACCACTCATTCCACCAGTGACTAATACTTTACCATTTGCTAATACTGATGCTGTATGAGCTTGGCGTGCATAATTTAGAGATCCTGTATATGTCCAACTGTTCGTCGCTGGATCATATAATTCAGCACTATTTAAATAGTTATTACCTCCGCCAGCACCATTTCCACCAGCGACTAATACTTTTCCATTTAGTAATACCGATGCTGTGTGAGTATATCGTGCTGCATTCATGCTTGCTACCTTCGTCCAATTATTTGTTGAGGAATTATATATCTCAACACTATCAAGAGGATTATTATAATATCCACCAGTAACGATTATGTTTCCACCGGTCAAGAATGATCCCGTATGAAATTGTCGTCCATCAGCCATACTTGCTGTTGCTGTCCAAACACCTGTCGCTGGATCGCACAAATCGGCACTGTTCCATGGACCATTTACAGCTCCACCTGCAACAAATACTCTGCCATCTACTAAGACGGATGCGACATGCCGTTGCCGTGCATAAGTCATATTTTTCGTCAGTGCTCCTGCGAATAAGATAAATAAGATGAAAACAGTTACTTCGTCGCATTTAAAAGGAATTTGAAATTCAATTCTTCTTATCGCATTTAGCAAAAGATCATAAGCATCAGAAATTATAACTAACCTGACGGTGCTCTTGTTGTCGATGATGTGGAAGTTGTTGTGGACGTAGATGTGCTGGTTAAGTCTATTCCAAACAAATAAGTTTATTCATAAGATGTTTAAGATCTTTAGCAATTCTGCCATCAAATGAAAAAAACCTCCTAAAAATACTTATAGTCAGTTCTATGCACTCACGACTATAGAACTTTTTATCTCTACATAGATCCCTTAACTTGACATGCACGACTAATTCACCTGATGGCAATGCATATCTGCTCATCCATACTCCATAGTTTTTCGAGTTTGCACTTTCTATTGCGCTTTCAAAGAAATTATTTTTCTTTTACTACCATTCTCTTAATGTGAACTGACAATGTTTGTCTATAGCTTTTATCTACGTTGCATTCCTCTTGGAATCCAAGGTTAAGTAAAAAAGCGCTAATATTATTTTGTATTCCTCATATTTTATACTTACCCAGCGGAAATCTCGTTCCTAAAATGACACTCATCGTTACCGCATTCATTTCGAACGACATGTTTCCATTCTGATTAATGGAATTGTCGAACAGTTGACAATTGAGAGACGCAGATCGATAGGTAATTGCCTTGCAACCTAATTGGTCTAAACAAGACATTTCACATTGACGAACGTTGGATTTGGTGAGATTAACAAATGGAGCACAAGTTGTTTTCGCGCATTGAAAAGTAAAATTAACCAATGAAGACATTCGAACTGATCGTATATCACTTTCAATTGTTTGTTTGAAGAAGACAAACAGAAATAAAAGACTACCTCGTGTTATCGACATCGTTGATGGAATGGCTTTGTTAAACAAAACAAGAAGACCAGGAGACAAAAAAATATAACTTTCATTTTCTTTTTCTTCTCTTTCCATCAGTTTAATTGTTCTACTCATCGACTTTGCTATACCTTTTGTCCTATATCATGTGTTACAACACAAACAGAATCGATTTTCTCGACAGATAATTTCGTTTGCAGAATGTATCTCAAACTTTGCCAGTGAGAATTATTGTCCATATACAGTATGTCCTAAATACGGTTGCACTTTGTCAACTTAATTATGTCAATCATAATAATATGATGTTTTAACAAACGATGAGATGATGCAGTGCACACTTCCGCTCCAGAGAATGATTCGAGAAAATTAACTGATCTTTTTGTGGGTGTTCGAAAGATGTTGATGATTATCATAGTGTTTGCTTTTCTCTTCTCACACGTATTCTCAAGGAAAATGTGTGAGATTAGTTGCTGACGCACGTTTTCTATTAACGAAGATGAACTCAGTTTCTTTTTCTTTCGCATTCAATTTAAAGAATGACAAATGTAATGCACATTGTTTTAATTATCCAAATAATCATGTTTTCGATCATTACCCTATTACTGTTAATTTATCTTCTTCCGCTTGTCTCTGTTCGACGTTTTCATACAAGTCATAACATTCTAGTAGGTAATTTATGTTTAGCCGGTATTACCTGTTCTGCGTATTGGTTAATGAATAAATCATTTCATCTTTACCGTTTGAACGTCTTTGACGAATCAATTGGGATGTGTATTTTCAATGCGTATTTGTCACAGACAGTTAATTTCCTGCTAGTGTATTCATTGGTGATAATTATTATCAATCGATGCTGTACGATTATTTATCCAAGCAAAAATTTATTTAAAAGTTTAGAATGGTCGTTACTATCGGCGGTTTTTCAATGGATTGTTTGCATTGTTTTGTCCATACCGCTTTTTATCGCATTTTACCGGGTAAAATGAACACATTGCGAATATCATCGATTTCATTCTAGTTTTTAGATGTGCACACACGATAAACATTCAACACAAGGAATTTATTATTACAGTTTAATCATGACTGTGGTAGTTCCATCACTACTGAACATTATTTTCAATTCAATTATCATTTTCTTCGTTCGATCATCCACTCGACGCGTTCATATGACATTACCCATTAGAGACAACACATACCAACAACATTCGCGTGATGTGTATTTACTTAAACATATATTGTTTATCTTCGTCGTGTTTATGATCGGATGGGCACCGGTTTATATAGTACTTGCGATTGATGGAAAGACAAGAATACAAACTTGGATCTATTTGCTTTTGCAGATTCCACCGGTGATGAGTGCTGCGATTCAAACATTTGATTTGTTTATATATAATCGTGAAGTTCGACAGTATTTACGAGAAAAAATATTTCAGCTTTTACATTGTATTTTCAATTGATTTGAATGCACGCATAGTCTATTTTTGATGTTATAGGAAATGTCACTTGTCAATTGAATAAATATTATATGGAATAAAATCGATTATTTGCAATATTAGATTACACATTTTTCCTTTTCCCTTTGTTTGGGAATAGCAGAATTTATATGGAATAGAAAAAGTAACTTTTCTTGCATTCTCCTTGCGAATGTTTCTTCTGAAAACAGTAATTACACCATCGTAAGACGTTTATTGTTGCGAGAAAGAAAAGATCGTGCAAAAGCGGCGATGCTTGCACTCCGTGAGTTTACTGATCTGCTGTTGCTCGCTTTATTTTTCTAAACAAATTATTCTTTAAAAAAACTCGCTATGTTAGAAATTCTGTTGAAATGTTTTTCACATCTGCGGAAGATAATTCAAACGAAATATTCCATGTAACAAATAACTTTTCGATTGCCTTTTAAACATTAATTTTTCTTCGAAATAAAGAAAAGATGTTTCCAAATAAATTAATGCATCATTTTTGTTCTCGAAAGTTGAAAATGTTTCGCGTTATAAGATTGTACAAGTTGATGATTGCTCTGGTGGCTTTTGTTCGACAGTATTCTCTTTTAATAGTCGAGCCATTGCTTTAGCAAACCGATGGAATTCATGCGGTGGAAGAATTTGATCTCGATGTTTGTATTTAAAGATTTGTGAGTATATTTTTCGTTGTTCATATCGATCTTTTGATAGAATTTGTGCATAATCAAGCATTTCGACTCCTGATCGAAATCGATACAGGTCATAAATTTCATCCATAATCCCTTCTTGTTGAAACCAACGACGAATGTCACTAGCTGTCCATTTATCAATAGGAGGTAGGTCAACGGTAACAGATGAAGTTTCTTGTACTGGACTTTTGGATGGACCAAGTTCTGCAGAATTTTCGTTGTGCGCAGAGGCTTTAAGAGCTTCATGATGTACAAGTTCTGTAGAAGTCTCACGTGGCATAGGTTCTGTGGAAGTATCACGATGTACAGGTTCTACAGGAGCGTCATAGTGTACAGATGCTTTAGGAGTCTCATGGTACGTTGGTTCCACAGGAACCTCATGATGTACAGGTGTTTTAGGAGTCTCATGGTACGTAGGTTCCGCAGGAACCTCATGATGTACAGGTGCTGTTGAGGATATGATGATTTTTTTGTCGTGTGAAATTTCAGCTTGAACTCGTTCAATCAAATCTTTTATGTTTGACTCGTTCGGTTCACTCGGATTTCGAAATCGAACATATTTCATTCCGGCTTTTCGTATTCCTATATGATAATTGGAATATTTGGCGTAGTTTAGCGAAAGAACTATCGACATACCCAGCCAACCTTTTGGTTTATAATCGCCAATTAATATAGGGATGATAGGTTTTTGTAAATCATCAACAGCATAGATAAATTCTTGTCGACATGATTTACTTTGCTGATAGTATTCTGATATAAAACAAAGAATAACATCAGCATTTTCGATAGCATCGGCAATTTTTTCCCATAGATCTCCCGTCGCGCAGTGTTGAATATCAATCCAGACTTTCAACTTATCATTCATTCGTTCAACTTCTTTCAAAATCTGATAACAAAATTTGTCGTCCTTATGCGCATAACTAAACATCACGAGTGGCAAACTATCGTCCGTTGTTGATCGATCTTTCTTATTAGAAAACCTAAGCAAAAACTAGTTCACATACAAACTCAAAAAGAAGCATACATATCCGATTCTTTGATATCTTTAGTTTTACACTGCAAAGCTTTCTTGGATTGATCCTCTTGTGATGTCGCATCCATATGTAAATTGTAAAGTATACCATCTGCCGCCTTTTTTATGCTCTGCATAGCCCGAGGTTTATATTGATCGCATGTTTGACTACGTTCATCCACTGCCAATCTTTTGATAGTATCTATCAACTGTGTATTATTTTTCAATTCTTCTTGATATTCTCCCTGGAATGAAATACTCCAAACGATATTGTAAAGAGCGATACACGAGAATTGGTTGAGAGGATCTGTACTCGTGATTAAATTACTAAAAGCAATAAGAAGATCGGCAAACAGTTTCACTGTGGAAGCCATGTTCAATGATGGCTCGGTTTCAGCATGCATCATAATGTAATCGACTGTTCGTTCATCTACCACAAATAGTTTTGCCAAGACACCGACGAGATGTGCGACATGATAACGAACACCAACACACGTGAAATCTTCATTACCGGCAGCTTCCATAATTAACTGTAATAATTGATTGAGAACGGTGTTCATACCTTTCTGATCCTCTTTAAGTTGTTCAGGCGTTGATAACAGAGCTATGGCCAGTGAACAACATAACGATAGTTTATTGTTCTGTGCAATTTCGTCTCTAAAGTGAGAAAAGATTGTTTTCTTGCCAATTCAGACATAATACTCACCTTCTTTGATACTGTTTGACGATTTCTAGAGCTCCGAGTTTGTTATATTCATCGACACCGTCATCATGCCGTGCCATATTGTAAATAATTCGAATAAGCGGTTCGGTTGCTTCTGCATTCAAATAGCCCGAGTCACTCAGCCATTTCACCGCATGTTTTGGTAGATCAAGACGAATCAGCGATGGAACGAGTATTGTACGATTGGCCATACACCAAAATAAAATCAAGATCTCACTTGTAACCCGATCAAATCCTTCATTTCCGGACGATAATTCACTAGCAACTTTCTTATCTGCATACGCTTTCAAGTCGATGAAAAAAGGCATATAATCATTGACTAGTCTATCATCAAACGGAATAAAATTACAAGCCGATATGCACAAAGCCAGTAAAATATAGAAATAATTGTTCATAGTATTATTTTGGAACGTGCTAATGTCGTCGTTAGTCAGATGATGTCGCTCGATGACAAGCACGGTTAACAAATCGAGAGAGGAATAGAGCATTTCGTAGCAAAGAGGTCCATCTTTTTCCAATCGATTTTCCAAATCTAAACCAATGAACATTTTGTTGTAAAATATATACGAACAATCGGCGTATGATGCAGCATCGTTTGCGGCTGCAGAATGAATCATGTATTCCATCGTTGTCCTCCATAATATCAAAGCCTTTTGCCAAACGTTTTTCATGTCGACATCGGCTATGTTTTTGCTGTTGATTGTTTGCTTCACGAGTTCATCTAATTTTGTGTTATACTGCTCTATCACATCGGCACATGTCTCCAGTTGAACATCAGATTGATCAGTTGTCATGTTTTACTAAAATATACAAAACGATCTGTTGAGTATAGATACAATCTCGAATGAAAGGCGATTCATCACTACGTTCGAATTACAAAAGAATTATCATTCACTATGTGTAAAAATATGTTAGAATGAGATTGAAAAATATGAAAACAAACAGCAGAATGCGTTAAATGTCATTTTCGTCGCTTAGTTACATTTCTCCATTCTGTTAATAATGTATTGTATATTACAATGCGTTGCAATCGATGGCATTGTGCTTGCACAACTGTGTTGCAATCAGTGTCGTTCTCTATTTGTTACATTATGGATGAACCAAAAATTCAATGGTTTACATTAGCGACTTCGTAGTTGAAACCTTCTTTTTGCGTGAGTATTTTCTTGCTCTGTAGTTTAAACAGAAATATACACCAAATTGTAAATTTAATTCGATGTTAATTCAAAATATTTCAGTCATTGAACAAAGTATAAATATATTTTTATTATCCTGTATTCTGTTTCCTAAAACTACGTTCGTATATAATGTGGCAAACACGCGCTCAAAATGCAGCTCGAGACTTGTTCGGAAATTATACTTAGCACACGTTGCCGTGTACAAATTGTAATACGGATCACCCTAGTCATTCGTTTGTTTGCTTCATATAAACTCGATTAGCTCATTTGCGTATTCGTTTATATCATTACAATAATACAATTTTTTGACGTTGTCACTGGTGAGAAATAGCTCCACTCCATGCAGTTCTTCGTTCTTACTCGTCGGTTTGATATTGTCTATACGGAATATACTGTACACGTAAAATATCACCTCGTCCTCTCATGAAAATTGACCAATGTGTTGAACTCGAGCAAATGGTGTGGTTAATTGTTCGGGATTAAATTTCATGACATATAGAATGTTCACTCTCTCGCTGATCGCTCCATTTGTTGGAACAAACAGTAAGGAGACGTCGCGATCGTGACTAGTAGATAGGAACGTATTGAATAATATCAGTCCACTTTTTGATTTCACTGGTTCATCAAAATCTTTTTTTTACTAAACATTGACCACGATAAACTGCGAAGCTTTGAGCAAAAGAACCATCGGCATACACTCTGATGTTTATGAAGTTGCCTGGTGTGTCGATGAAGATCACTAATGAAGAAACTCATAAGTGTGATTACGTCTCCATCCATCATCCGTAATACTCGATTTAACGTGCCATACAAAAATCTTTGTGCTTTATACCACCAAGTGTGCGATTTTCGATGATATTCGGCTTCCAATCGCGTTACGTGTTTTCGATCAATTTCATTCTTGGCAAATTCATCACAGTAATAGTTCGCAAATTGTGTTGTATGTCGATTTTCAAATTTAATGGTTAATTGTGTTTCTTTGATAATCTGTGTGGACATAAACGATGGTTCTAATTGATTCAATCGTTTACTAGTGGTGGGTAGAAGGCTTGTAGGTATGATGTCGAATTATCCGCTTTATCAGTTCAGAAATTTGAACAATATCTGTGAGATATCGTGTACGCAGGGCAAAATGATTTCTTCACAATTGATTGTGAAACAATTATATACACTTTTGTATCGCTGTTGTCGAGAATAAATTCGATACATTCGTCATTGCCAGGAAAAGTATTCATATCATCGATCAGAACATATTGAAGTTGTGTAATCGCATTCTGGTAGTCATGATTACTGTTCTTATTAGAATGGCGTGCATTTATTGTTCGATGTTTATACGATTATTCTTATTTGTTTCGGATTCGGTCACTGGTTCCGACTCAGTCATATTAGTATTGTTTTCTGTAACGGACGTAAAATAAATGCAATAGATATGTTCTTAAAAGTTTACTCCCTTCAACAACGATTCTAATTATGAAACACCTCTTTTTACTCGCTCCACAAATATGCTTCTCCTATGAAATTTAGGAAAATATCATTCGGAAGAGAAATATAGCCGCGCTTCCATTTGCAATACAAGGAAAAGATCTGTTAGGACGAAAGAAAGAGAGAACATATCGATGCATTGGGAGGTGGTCGACGTTCTGATGGTCTATTGAAATAAACACGAACGTCAAGACGAGGAGAAAAATGAAAGCACAAGACCGATCACACTGATGAAAGACATGTATACATATGTGTGTAGAGAGAGAGAGAGAAGGCTCTGGAAATGTGGGGGTTCACAGCGTAACAGGATCATAAAATAAATATAAATATTCTTCATATGTATACAACTTCAAAATTGCAGAAGGAAACCCACCAGTCTATTTGTTGAATGCATATATCATCGCAAAGATAACAGAACAACTTACAGCTTAAGCACGAACCTTCCCATTTCGAGTGAGGCAACGAAAGCAGTACTACAATATCTTTCTTCCTTAAAGATAATTTTTTTCAGTACGGTGCTGTTTACGAGCTTTGACAGAACAAAAATATAATAAATATGTCGATAAAATCCGTCGTCGACACGCCGAAGAACTTCAGATTGATTATCATCGACGATCGATTAGCCCGCACGCTTTCACGAGGTTTAAAATTCAATAATAAGTTAACGAAATTGATTGGCAATACAACACCATTGGGCTTCAACGTCCCAGGTCAGCTGAGAATTGAGTAGTGTTAATCTCGCTATGAGATTGAATACATATCCCCAGGCGAATATTTCTCATCTCGCAAAGACGCACAATATGCTCGAAGTGCCGACGAACATGGTGAAAGAAAATAAGTCTGTGACACCGATCAGTATGATGAAAACTGGAGAATCGTACGAACGATCATTATCGTTTCGATATTACCGTCCACGTTTACTTGAACAGAAAATGAAAACAAGCGATGAAGATGCCAAACCCCGCGATCTACCATCACAAATGTGGCACCATGTTTATAAGTATTAACATGAACCGAATGTTCGGAACTTTATTTTGAGGCAACTATTAATTGCGACTCCTATGAGAACACGAATACTTATGATAGTGATGGTACTACCGATACAATGATTTTAGAGTATGAGAGAAATATTGCTTTGTTGGATCATGAAGAAAGGTTTGTTGATGAAGATTTACTCAACGAGGAGTATTGCTGGTACGGAGATAAATCATGTGCTGAAGAACATATCCTGGGCTATCGCGAACGTCAATTAGGACAAATCAAACAAGAATCAGGGTCTAGTCTGTTTCGAATGCTATTTATCATACAAAGGTCATTGTTTGGAAGACGTGTGTTGCTATGACATTTCTGAATTCGATATCAGTACGATTTGTGATATTATTAAGCTTATAACCGTCTTATATTCGGTTTTAATACACATCAATTGTCAGTTGAATACTTACCTAACGAAGCACCATCGAATAGATATGAAACTTTTGTGTTAATACCGAATATTTAGCACAAGTAACACAAAGATCCAACCATACGTTATATCAATGTGATCTACCATCAATATATATATCGACCAATTTTCATTTTCGAATTATACTTATTTGTCTAATATGCATTTATCAGTCGCTCGAAGCACGGATCATGTCTTTCTTTTAGTGACGTATATTAGTATTGCTGCTTTATGAATTTTTATCAAGGTTATACTTCGTATAGAAAAATAAATGAAATTAAAACCATTTTGTAAGCACAACGAAATCGAAGGATAATAATTAAAGAGCAACAATTGTTGTTTCGTCATCGTTCTCAATGAATCATTAAGCTTGCGACATTGTTCCTCGTTCTATCTTTTATTCTTGCCTGCAGTGCCCCTGTTGGGAAGAGTTGCTCTCTTTTCTACGTCTATGACAATACCAACACCGATGTTCTGAGCCATGTCACGAATAGCAAAACGACCCAATGCTGGATAATCAGAGAACTTTTCGACACATATTGGTTTTGTAGGAACCAACTTGACAATGCCAGATTCACCTGCTTTGAGGCATTTGGGAGCATCCTCAATAACTTTTCCAGTTCGACGACAAACCTTCGAGATTAATTCCACAAATTGACATGCAACATGAGCAGTATGACAATCAATCACAGGTGTAAAACCTTGACAAATTTGATTAGGATAATTGAAAACGACTATCTAAAACAGATGCCATAAATAACGAGAGATTCGAAACACTTTTCATTTACTTGAGCAATAAAACTTGCAACTTCTTGTGCTGGATCATTGTTTGCATCTGAACAGACAAATCCACGTTGAATGTCACGATAATCAACACCTTTAACGCTAAAGCCAACATTATCCCCCGGACCAGCTTCTACAACGCAAAACAGACACTTTCAAAGCGTAAAAGATGCTTTTCTTACCATTGAGAGTTTCATGATGCATTTCAAGTGATTTAACTACTGCTGTCAAATATACTGGAGTAATATTCACTGCCATATCTAGCTTAATTGTACCAGTTTCAACGCGTCCTGTATACACTGTAACCAACTTATTGTCAAATAAGTGTAGAATCGGATAGATTATATGACGTACATAACGTCATGTTATTGCGCCGCATTGCGTGCAATGGTGACACATGACAAACTCGAATGAGTAGAAGAACAGAACGAAAGATATTTTATCCGTACCGTATGTCACATGTAAAGTCGATGGTTGTGTGCAACAACATGGGCAAAAGACTGGATGAGTCAGTATGTGATCGTTGCTATGTCAGGATAAAATTTCTATGCTGAATTAACAAATGAGGATCGATGCTGTGTAGTATATTACTTTAATTAGTTCACTATGCGTTTTGTCAATTGCTTCGGGATTAAATACGCTTTCTAGTTTTAGTCAATAAACTGACAAAAATTTCAATACTGTAGTCATTTGATCACCAACTGATCCAATGGAAACAAAAAAGATTTCTCATGTAACGATAAAGTAACGATAGTTCTGACACCTCTATTTTGTCAAACATTAATCACGTATGAATTGCCATACATAAGTAAACACGTCACATCGGACGTATTATGACCGAAAAAGTGCGTTTTCGAACGATGAGTTACTATATTTAGGCGAGTTATTGACATCAACCCACATAATAGATTGGTGAAGTCAGCCTCCACAATTTTTCATTTTTACGTTTGTTTTCTCCAAAAAAAAGTTTATAAAAGGAAATCGCATTAATAGTCCAGAACCTATCTCATTAACAAATGGCATCCGAATTACACGGCAATATCGAAGAATACCAATTCGACACAGTGATAGTTTTCGGTGACTCGCTGTCAGACACAAATAATGTTTATACATTAACAAACGGCACATGGCCTACTACACCACTATATTATCAAGGTCGATTTTGCGATGGTTTCAATTGGGTGGACAATTTGAGAATATTGAACGTGAAGAATTACGCACATGGAGGTGCAACGACTGATAGTGCCGTAGTCCAGGGATATACAAAGTTAGATACAGTACCTGTCCCCGGTGTTCGTCAACAAATCAAAATCTATCTAGATAGTACTAAAGAAGAAGATATTGACTTTGCAAAGACGCTTTACATTATCTCAGCCGGTGGGAATGATTTTGTTTATAGTAAAGTTTCAAATCCATTTGCAATAGTGAATCGTCTGTCCAATGCAGTCAATGAGTTAATCGCTTGCGGTGCGAAACATATTCTTATTTTTAATCAACCGCCGGCTGAAACCTATCCATATGTTCAAGCACTCAGCTATAAATTTGTTGTGAAACAATTCGCTATACTCTTTAATAGCATTCTTTCGTTTCGTCTGAAACAAATTCAGAAAAGTAATTCTCACATTTCCTTGAAACTCTTCAATCTGCATCTCATCATCAAGAGAGTTGTTGGTAACGAATCTGGGCATTTTGAAAATACGACAGATCCGTGTTGGGACATGGCGAATGACATTCCTGCTGTTTTACAAAGCTTAAATCCATCAAAATATGTGTTCTTCGATAAATTTCATTTTACATCCAGTGTACACAAAACAATCGCAGATGCAATTCACGAATTGATTTCTTCTAAAACTAGTTCATTTGTGTATCCATCGAATTAATGTCCCAGATTGATCACTTTCAGCTTTACTGATGTCCTCAACATGGTAAGTTGAGTCGTGCGTTTTAACTAACTTTTGAGATTAACGTTTTGAAATTCTTCTATCAATAAAATCTCATACAAAACGCAACCTCTCTGCAGGCGCTGTTTGCTTTTATGACGCGAGTTGGGGAAGTTTATGTTAATAAATGTCTTCTATAGCGAGAATGAACGTGGATAAATATTGAGATCAATTCGTATGTAATTTAGACAAAGCTTTCATTTCATTATGAAGACATAATTAGTCCCTGCAGTACGCAAGAGGAGAATAAAAAATGTTGTTAATTGATGACATGGAATCTGGATCAGCTAATATCTGATATCTATGTTAGTTTTTTTTTTTATTTAAAAGTCCCTTGGAGCGGATGCAGATGGAAAGGTGAAAAATTACGTTATGGGTTATTCATGCATCTGACAAAATCTACAGTTGATTTAACAACCGCATGGCGTTTATCACAATGGAACAAACAGGAAATGAAAAGAATAAACTTTTGAAATATCAAATCACTTTTTCTAAGACATTCGAATTTTATCGTTTATTAGATAAACCAAAAAAAAGGTTACGATTTTTAATTACAAAAACAACCAAATTAAAGCTCTATTTCGCTGAATCCCAGAGATTCATAAACAATTGTAACAAACTAACTCTCCGGGCAATACTGTAACATTTCAGAAACAGTGCATAACGTTTCACAACAAGCTTCAGTAAGTAATTTTCGTTGAATATATCGACGAGCACGAGTATGTGGACGTTTGTTGACTGTAACTTTCTGTTTTGTCTTTTGAATGACATTACACGCGACGCTGAGCATTTGTAAGAGATTAGCTCCGCATGCGTGATAAGCTCGATCAAGTTTACAATGTTCGACTTTATAAAGTTTTCCCATCATTTCGATGTTTTGACCTTCGGTTAACGAACGTCTGCCGACATTGACGGTACAATTCGATTTGACAGGAGACAGAATTGGCTTGCTGGAAACATGTGGATGAAATAAAATCAATCCCAATATCAAACATTGCATAGTAAATGTCATCATAACGATTAACGAAGTCATCGTAGAAGAATTGTAAGATGTGTTAACTACAAGAGAAAAAAAAGAACATGAAAAATATATTGTATTATACAGATTAATAATTTTTCGATTCAGATGAAATGTACTCATACTGACAGAAGCGACAAGCATGTATATATATACGTTTCTGTCATTTATTTTCTTAGATAATAATGAATATTTGTTATAATAGAGAAATATGTGTCTTCCTTTGCTGCAACAAATTATTTGTTCTTGAAGTCCTGAGGATGTGGGTGCTTTTGCTCAATTTCACTCTGCATGAGGTTTAATCAAATAATCTCATTTAAAAAATAATTCCAGATGTTCAAAAATCTGCCATTCCGAAAGAATCGTTTGTATATTTTGGCATAGCCTTATTCACATTGACAAATATAATCATTAGTGATAACTTGACTCAATGAATATAAAAAAAAAAGAAATGTTGTCTTTGTATATTCTGTAAGTCATGTGTCAATAAGCAGAGATTTATAAAGCTAGAAATTGTTCTCTTTCTAATGAAAAGCATAGTCGTGAAGCAAGAAATTACTTGCTCGCGTTAAATGGATTGTTTTAAGTATGAGAAAGAACGGAGCTGACTTACCGACAAACACATATTGAATGTTCCGTTGCTGGATGGATGAATGAGTATGTACAATTTTAGTGTTTGAAAACAACACAAACGTAAAAAGCGTTATCAGAGAATCTCGATAAATAAGAAAGAACTAATCAATTTGGAATTCTTCCTAATGATACAGAAGATCAGTCACTCTCAAGACGTTCATTTATTAATTCAAGACAACTTCAATCGAACTTTTCAAACTATCGACGAGAAAAACAAGTTCGTCTTCCGTTATTGTATATGGAGGCGCAATTAGCACATGATCTCCATTGACTCCATCAGCGGTACCTTTCGATCCAGGATATATGACGACTACGAGAAACATATATGTGTTGATACAATCAAATAGAACAAAGAAAACGCTTGCCTCCATGTTCTATACATTCCTTTATGATTGAATCAATGAATAAGCAAGTAGATGGATACATTTCCTTTGTCGCTTTATTTTTGATAAATTCCACCGACCAAAATAAGCCACGACCACTATTTCATGACAAAGAAGAAGGTTTTGTAATCAGTTTGCTTTAAAGAATCATCAGAAACCTACCGAATGTTGCCAACATGTGCATGATCAGACAGTTTTTCGTTAAGAATCTTTTCCAAAAACAGACCACGTTGGTGACATTGCTCGATCAATCCATCTTCTTTCATTATTTTAATAACTTCTAATGCAGCTCGACATCCTACAGCATGTGATTGATACGTGTATCCATTATTGAATGCACCTGAACCAGCAAGAAAAGCACTGATGACTTTGTTGGACATGAGGACAGCTGCAAGTGGTGCATAACCACCACCAAGTCCCTTTCCTAAAACTTGAATATCTGGTGGGGAAGAGAGACCTTCCCATTGCCATGCATGCATTTTACCCGTTCGACCAACGCCACACATGATCTCGTCAAGAACAAGTAGAGCACCATGCCGATCACATACGTCACGCATTGCTTTGAAGTAACCGGGTACTGCTGGAGTGCAACCACTTGTAGCACCGACAACTAAGAACGGAAAGCATACTTCGATCTTTATAATTAATAACATTCTGATTTACTTGTCTCAGCGAAAAAGGCCGCAACTGTATTGGGACCAAGTTCTTGGAATTTAGCTTCCAGCTCATCGGCGAGACGCTTGACATAGTCTTCATCAGTTTCGTTGTCCAATTTGTAATGATAAGCAAAGCAAGGTGAAACATAATGAAAATACGATGAAAAATACGGTAGAAAAGGTGCGCGACGTGCCGTATGTCTACAAAGACCAAGCGCACCAAGTGTATTACCATGATAGCTCTGCTTTCGAGCGATAAAATTCACTCTTTCAGGTTGTTTGTTTTCCAAATGATACTGTCTAGCGAGTTTAATGGCTGATTCTATCGCTTCCTAATTGATATTATCTTCTGCTGACTTGAAACGAAGACAATAGACTAAACTTACAGAGCCGCCGGATACAAAGACTGCTCTTGCCATGCCACTTTCTTCGATAAGTTCATTGGCCAGTTCTTCAGCTGCCTGAATCAAACATTCGATACAATGGTGAATATGTACATATTTTCATTGACCTTATTAGCAAATGTTCCGGAATGTACATAGTCAACTGTTTGCAATTGATCGAGAATACTTGCAATGACACGTTTATCTCCATGTCCAATGCTTGTCACGGCAGCACCGCCGCTACCATCGAGTAGTTTTCGGCCATCTTGAAGATAAATATAATTACCTTCTGCTCGTACAGCCAATAGAGGCTCATATATAAGAGAACGATGGAAAACATGCGAAGATGCCATGCTGAAAAATAAATCGAGTCAATGTTACATTTTGTTTTCCACTACGATTTAAAAACAGCGAACAAATGATTGTTATTGGTGATGATTTTTCGATCGAGGAGGATCGTTTGATTTAATCTGCAGCACTCGATTTTTTTTTCAATTTACTCTCTTTGCATTGCATTGTATTGAATACAACAATGATAAGGAATGAAAAGAAAGATAAAAGTAAAGAAAAACAAAAATTGAAATGAAAGAGTATTTGCATTTATCATATCGTATTTAAAAAGGCAAGTATATGAAAAATATCGAGTGAAAACACGATTATTCTACAGTGATGTCAAAGACGAAGTTAACTTCAAGTTATTTTCATCATGCATCTTCATTTCAATTGACCTACCAAACACTTAGTCACAGCTTTGACGAAATGGCTCGGAAATATGCCGATCACGAATGTTTTATTTTTAGAGGTACATCAGATTTTTTTCATATCTAATGGATCAGTAGTGCACTCTTCAATCAGGTGAACAAAAGCGTTACACATACAAAACATTCAAAGCTGAAGTTGATAATATAGCAGCAGCTCTTCTCGAACTGGGCTACGAAAAACACGATCGTTTTGCCGTTTGGCTTCCCAACACATCGGAAAACGTAACGATATCCTATGCAGCATCAAAATTGGGTTTAATCAAAGTAATCCGCATTCGAATGTTTGAACCTTTATTACTTCCTGCGTACTAGGTGAATATCAATCCGGCTTATATCGAACGTGAATTAGAATATTGTATTAATAAAGTGGGTTGTAAAGGTATTCTTCTTTCGCCATTAGTGAAGTCAATCGACTCACTTTCCATCTTTCGTCGACTCGTGCCTGAACTTGGTCAACAATTATCGGGTCTGAATGATCTCTCCGCTAGAGCAGTTCCTACACTGAAACACGTCATTTTAACCGGCGACCAGACGACTTCAGTACCGGGCACATATTCGTACGTGGATCTACTTAAGCTGGGAGCTCAACTGTCACATGATAAATTATGCGAACGACAAGCATCAGTTGATCCGGACTCTGCGATTGCAATCTTCTATACATCAGGCACCACAGGTCGTCCTAAGGCAGCGACATTGACTAATTTTGGTGTATTAAATTTGGTTCGTGCTCAATGGGACCTTTTGAGCCCATATTATCAGCGCGTTTGTGTTCCCATTCCAATGTTTCATATTTTCGCAGAGATTTCAGGTGTTCTCAACGTTGCCGTTGGCAAGTGTCAAGTGATTTTTCCAGCTGTTCTACCCGATACTGTGGCAACGATGCGCGCAATTCACGAAGAAAAATGTACAGCATTAATTGGAGCACCGATTATTTTTCGTGATATACTAATGCATCCAGATCGGAAAAAATACGATCTTAGCTCCTTAGCGTACGGAGGCACAGGAGCAACGACGTTAGAGTTTGATTTCTTACGTCAAATCGAAAGAGATTTTCCTATTACACGTATGGTGCAAGGCTATGGACTGACTGAGAATGCTTCTCTACTTACCAGTGGCATGTGGGCTGGAGATGATGATCCGCGACGACGATTAGGATCATTAGGCCGATGTATGCAAGGAATGGAGATTAAAATCGTAGATCAACAAGGCCAAATCGTACCCATTGGTCAACAAGGCGAAGTTTGGGCGAGAGGTTATTCAATCATGCGTGGTTACTACGGCGATCCCGAGAAGACGGCAGAAACATTGACACCTGCAGGATGGCTTAGAACAGGCGATGAAGCTAACATGGACGAAGATGGTTATCTTTATTTTATCGGACGTCAAAAGGAGATCATCATTCGTGGTGGTGTAAATATTTATCCGGTTGAAATTGAAAATACGATCGTTGAACATCCGAGCGTTATGCAAGCACAAGTTTTCTCTATTCCCGATCGACGATATGGTGAAGAGGTGTGCGCTTGGATCATATTGAAACCGAATGTGCTACAATGTCGGGCAGAAGATATCCAAGATTTTCTCAAAAACAAGTTAGCTTTCTTCAAGATACCCAAACATATACGAATTGTCGATAGATTCATTACGACACCGACGGGTAAAGTACAAAAATTCAAAATGTCTGAAATCATGATCAATGAATTGAAACAAACAACTAGCAAGTTATAACTTCTTCTCTTTTTCGTTATGTAAATCAGTATACAGCTATTTATAATTTTCTTAAAAGTCTCTGTAGAAGTTGTTGCTGATGTTCAATGCTAGTTCTTCCATAGAAAATACTACTGTTATGATGATCACGATCAACAAATTTTAGATCGAAATAGTTTTGTAAGAGGTAACATCCAGCTTCGCTCACTGCCATTCCAGACCATTCAATAACAACCGATCGATTTTCTCCATACGACAAAAGGCTTTCCAAGAAAGATTTCACTATTAACCGATAGACGGGTAACTTTGGATGTTTCTGATAATCTGGATCAACCACCATCGAACATATGTAAACCGAATATTTATCATCAATTCCATCATTCCAAGTTCTAATATCATCATTTGTAATGTGCGTACGTTCGTCGAAGTCAAACTGAAGAGTTTTCAGAAAGGCTTCATGTTTCACTGGTATGACCGACATGTAGCCAATCAAACGACGATTCTCTCGCGCTATCCACCACATAAATGGATTGCGTTGATACCATCGAAGAAGTAAATCGGCCGAGAGAACGATCGATGATTGATAAACTTTCTTCGCTAACGATTCAATATCGACCATGGTCTGTTCAGCTTCGTCAGGTGGTATTATATGTGTAATTGATAATGATGCAGTTGTCATAGCGGTCGAGAGTATCAACCACTAGTTTTTATCTCAATAAATGACTATCACGAAGAACAAAATCTGCACGTGTTTTTTAATATCTCTTTTTCTGTCATTCACCTAGTGACATAAAATGTAATCAATGTTTTTTATCCCTGAACCTTATCAAACAATGTGAATACTGCTTTATTTTCTTGTAATGCTTCTCAATGATGATGTATGCAAGAATAATTCAACATAGTATCATCATGTCATCGTGACGACGCGCATTTTTTCTGATAAGTCAAATGTTGTTGTTATCAACGCGCACACACCTTGACTGAAATTATGAGCATGAATTATGATAAGACAAGTATGTCTCAACAACGCATCTTACCATTTAATTCAGAACTTCTAGAAAAGAATTTTTATTGATAAAAAGAAAAATAGTGATGAATTAAACGTGTTTGAATAGTTTATGTAAAGATGATGGTCTGGTAACATTGACAAAAGCACCCATGCCAGGATGATAATTGCAACCATAAAAAAAAGTACCAGGTCGGGTAAAAATAGCAACAGTTGATTCACCTGCCTTAGTTATTGGAATGTTTAACACATCCGTTCCATTGGCATCTTGGCAGAATTTAGGTATTGGACTATTTCGGCAAATGGTGAGTGGATGAATTGGAACATCTGTCTGTAAATCGAATCTCAATGCATCACCGACTTGAAGACTCACATTTGGACTAAGAGTACCATTTAAAGCGAAAGTATGATTGAATCGCGATGGATTTCCTTCAGGACAAGTTAATCCTTGAACACATGGTTCAAATGTGGCTGTGTACGTCACAACTACTGTAGACACACTGTAGAACGATACAATAGCCAGTGCAACGAGTAATAAACTTGACAAGGAAGACATCTGTGCGGTTTGATACAGAATGAAATGTTTGAAATAGTATCACTGTGGTGACTTATATAGGTGTATGGACTTGCTTGGAGATAAATGATAAATGAAAAAATATTGCTGACACATGCGTTGCATGGTCATTTTTAGAATTATGTCAAGTCATTAATAAACACAAACATAAGATATGAATATGAGAGAATGAGACTCCTTTTATCATATTGTGTTCTTTTTTTACCTTCGAGCGAGGCCATGGTTGTTCTTACATCTGTTTTATTTCGTAAATGCATAGGAGCTCAATGTATATTTCTTTATTTTTTCGCTCGACAGAACGAAAACAATCTGTCGATAGGCAATGATGATCATTTTATTTTCTTGTCGATGAGGATACCGCTCACTGAATATTATCATTATACAAAAATAAATGAATAAAAAGTATACTCCATGTGCTCTTTTCTACTTGACTGCTCCGCGAACTAGTCATCCAGATGACACATTGAAAAGAGACGATAAAATATATACGATCGAAAGGCATCAGTTCATATCTATATTGCATACATGCAGATGAGTAGTATTTCAGTCGATAATGCTACTCGCTCACTGGACGGGTTAGCTGTTGTGGAGGAGTCTTCTTCTGAAATAGTGGGAAGAGGTGTAATGACTTACGATGAAGATACAATAATCGCTTGTGCACAAAAATCGTAGGTCTAATTCTTTAGGTCGCATACATTTTGTCTGGTATTTTCTTCTCAGGAAACCTTGTTTCAAGTCACTGACGAATTCAACAGTCGGCATCATTGGATATTGTATGTTTACATGCGTTGTAATCGTTGTCGGTGTTCTGATAGTTTATTATACAACACCAGAACCGGCAGGTACATTTTTCTTACACTCAAAACAGCTATAACGTCGATTCATTTGTTTTTCTTCAGCAAAAACATGCGGAATGACTTTTGCAGCAGATCATAATCCTATCGAATATGATAATGGACCACGTTCAATCGTTGCTGCCGATCTCAATTCGGATACTTGGATAGATTTAGTCATTGCTCAGTCGAGGGATGACACTATATCTATATACTTCGGACATAGTGATGGTGTTTTTGTAAAGCAAATCGAATATTCAACTGGTGCTGGTTCCGCTCCACACATGGTCGCTGTCGATGATTTGAATAATGACGATCGATTGGATATTGCAGTCGCAAATTATGGTACCAATAGTGTTCGTATATTTCTAGGTTGGAACAATGGATCTTTCATCGGACACTTAGACCTATTAACTGTTGCATCCCATCCGATTGCACTTGATTTAGTTGATCTCAATAATGACACTTTTGTCGATATTATTACCGTCAATTATGAAACTAATAGCATTAGTATTTTCTTCGGCAAAGGAAATGGAATGTTTTCGAGTCCCGTGTCATATCATATGGGTTACGATTCACTTCCAAATTCAGTGACTACTGGAGACATGAATAATGATCAACATCTAGATATTGTTATTGCGAATTTTGGTACAAACACTATTGTTATTCTCTTCGGAAATGCAAATCATACTTTTGTCGATCAAATGACTATTCCAACTGGCTATGGGTCCCTTCCATATTCACTTGCTGTTGGTTATTTTGATAATGATACTTATCTCGACATTGCTGTTGCTAATTATGGAGCGAAGAATATTGGAGTATTTTTGAACAATAGATATGGATCTTTTCGCAACCAAATTACTTATTCTACGCAATCTTCCTCACCGTACTCCATTGGTGTCGGTGACTTCAATCAGGATACACGATCAGACATCATCGTTACTAATAAAGGTCTCAATAATATCGGTGTGTTTCTAGGTGATGGGAATGGTTATTTTGCAGATGCAAGAATGCAATCAACTGGTTCATCTTCATCAATTTCATTTGCCGTATGTGATTATAATAAAGACAATCGCTTGGATCTCATTGTTGTTAACAATGACACTGATAGCATCGATACTCTTCGTGGTTATTTTGAAGGTTTCGATAGTAGAACATCATTTGCAGTCGATGGGCCTTCACGTTCTTTGGCTGTTGGTGACTTGAACAATGATGGTCAATTGGATCTTGTCGTCTTAAATTATAACAGGAATAGTATAAGCATACTTCTTGGCTATAACTATGGTTCGTTTATAACTAACGGAACATATGCAACTGGTAATTCTCCCGTATATGTAACGATCAGCGATCTGAACAAAGACCATTACTTGGACATTATTGTTGTCGATTCTGAAAGCTATTACTATGACGACGATTATAATACATTCAATTATGATATAAGCATTTATTTCGGCAATGGCAACGGAAGTTTTCAGAAACAACAAAGATATTCAGCTGGCTACCATTCAATATATGTTGCTATTGGCGATTTTAATAACGACACTTGGTTGGATCTTGCAGTCGCCAATTCTCTTGACAATGATGTTACTATTCTACTTGGTAATTCCAGTGGTTATTTTACTGAAAATGGTGCTTATCCCGCAGGTTCGCGACCATATTGTGTCGCTACCGGCGACTTTAATAATGATGATCAACTAGATCTTGTTGTCGTGAATTTTTATAGTAATAACGTAGGCGTCTTGCTTGGAAATGGTGATGGAACATTTGCGAAGCAGATTACATTTCCAACAGGCGCCTATCCATATTCGGCGACAGTAATTGATATCAATAACGATACACAACTCGATATCGTTGTTGCTAGTTACGAAGGCTTTAAAATATGCATATTGTTGGGATATGGCAATGGCTCGTTCGCTAGTCAACTGACGTTTGGAGTGACGAACAAGCCAACATTTGCCATTGTTGCTGACATGAACAACGATACCTACTTGGATATTGTTGCTACAGGTCCCACTGTAGGAGGAGTAAACATTCTTTTTGGATACGGTAACAATTCTTTCTCCAACCCAGTGAACTATGTAACTAGCGCATCCTCTTACTGCGTAGTAATAGGCGATTTTAACAAAGATTCGCGATTGGATATAGTCGTTCCCGATGACAGTTCGAATAATGTTTCGGTAAAACTTCAATACAATAGAGGTGCTCTTCGAAGCGATAGAAGTTATGCGTCTGGTGACGGTTCAAATCTGCGATTTGTCACTACAGCAGATTTAAATAATGACACACGACTCGATCTCATTGTAGCTAATTCTGGTACTGATAATATAGGTATTCTCTACGGCCTTGACAGTGGTGCCTTCGAACAGCAGGTTATGTTTGATACCGGTTCGAATTCTCAACCATCATCCATCGCTATCGATTATTTCGATGACGATGACCGATTGGATATGGCTGTTACTAATTACGGCACCAAGCTTATTGGCGTGCTACTTGGATCTGAAAATAGTTCGTTCGTCAGTCAGATAATCTACGGCAATTCTTTAAATTTTGCTCCCTTTGCAATTGCCGCCGGTGATTTCAACAATGATAAACGAGCAGACATTGCTGTTGCATATGACGGAAGTGATCTCATCGATGTTTTTAGTTTATATAATACAGGAGGTTTTCAAACTGGAGATATATATTCGCTTGGCGCCGCTTCACGAAGACTGGTAGTTGGTGACTTCAATAATGATAATCAATGGGATGTTGTGGTCACGAATTTTGACATGAACATGATATTTGTTTATCTTGGATATGGCAATGGTTCCTTCGGAAATCTAACGACGTATGCGACTGGTTCCGGACCATGGTGTGTAGCTACTGGTAATCTTAACAATGATACTTATCTAGACATCGTTGTTACAAATGCAAATATTGATAGTAATGGCAATTCTATTAGTATTTATTTCGGACAGGGCGATGGCACTTTCACCAATCAAACAAAATATTCGACTAGCTACAGTCCACAGTCTGTGTTTATTGCCGATATGGATAAAAACAACCAATCAGACATCATTGTTGCAAACCGTCGTAATAATTATATAAATATTTTCCTCGGATCGGGTACCGGAACCTTCGGGAGTTACAGATTGAGTTTCAATAAATATAATCTAACATCTGAGGCTGTCGGCGATTTTAATAATGATAGTAACATGGATATAGTCGTCGGTAGAGATACCTCGAATAATCTGGATGTTTATTTCGGCTACAGTAACGGAGTTTTCGCAAACCAGACAACCTATTCCACCGACGGTACAGCATCATTTATCGTTGTTAACGATGTCAACCATGACAATCAATTGGATATTGTTGCTACTACGACAAATAATACCGTGAACGTTTTTCTCTGCTCTAATAACGGAAAGTTTGCCAATGCTACTATATTTGCCATTGGTAGTCTGCCACAATCGCTAGCGATTACTGATTTCAATAGAGATCAACATATGGACATTATTACTACCAATACGGGTAGCAACGATATAAGTGTTTTATTAGGAGATGGCACTGGTTGGTTTCGACCTCAACAGAGATATAAGACAGGATCGACACCCTTTTCTGTCGCAGCGGCAGATTTCAATAACGATGATTTACCTGATGTAATTGTATCGAATCCAGGTGAAAACAATATTATGGTACTCTTAGGTACCACCAATAAAAATTTTGATCGAAAAACAACACTCACAACTGGCCAAGGTTCTCGACCACGATCTTTAGTTGTTGCTGACTTAAACAACGATGGTCAGATGGACATCGGTAGTGCCAATTCGGGCACTAATTGTATTAGTATTTTTTTCGGGTCTGGTAGTATGACTTTCACGAATCAATCAATATACCCGACTGGTGCAGATTCATCGCCATATTCGATAGCAGCCGGTGATTTCGATAGAAATAATCAATCAGATATGGTAGTCGCCAATTATAAATCTGATACCATTGGCATTTTCCTTGGCTATAACAATGGTTCATTTACAAATCAAACAACTTACTCAACAGGTTCATCTTCATCGCCTTACTTCGTAACTGTTGGCTTGTTTAATAATGATTCGATACTAGATATAGTTGTTGCTAATTATGGAAACAATAAACTAGGAGTATTTATTGGACATGGTGATGGAAAATTTGAAGATATGATACCTCTTCCGCTGGAGTATGGATCTCATCCGTTTTCTGTAGTGGCTGGTGATTTTAACAATGATAAAAAAGTGGATTTTGCCGTTGGAAATAACGGCACAGACAGTCTGACAATACTTTTACGAACTTGTTAACTCGAAATTTCTTTTATATTTTTCGTTTGTTTGATTATATTTGTGAAAAAGAAAGGTTTTGTTCTTGAGTTCAAATACTTCTGAAGTTTATGCTCCTCACTTACATCTACCACGTAATCAACATTTATTCATTGATCGAGACATACAAAAACGTGGTAATCTCATAAGTGCATCACAGAGAGAACAACCTTCTCAATTCACACTATTATTTACATTTCTACCTTGTTAATAATTCACGCTTACAGTTACTCAATGTTTTATCTCACAATTATATTCTTTTCAAGCTTCAACAAATACTTTCTTCAGAAAAGTCTGCGATTTTAACTAACCGTTTATTCAAAAGCATCACTTCACATAATACTATTCTGAAGTTTTATTAGCACTTGATTGTGGCACCTTTCGAAGTTCGAACGGGCCCTCATCATTGCACTTGCTAGTGTGAACTGTCCATTTTCCGATAAATGAATTTCTTTCTCTGCTCCATTCTAAATCAATTCTAACTTCATGTCCAAACTTCTCTTGCGTACCACCGGTAACTCGTATATACTTCTTAATTATATTCACAGTAGAGAATGTTAACGATAAGCTACCAGCTAAACGAAATTGCCCAATATCATCGATACCGTGTCCCGTTAGAATATTCTTTTCAGTATTGAAGGTTATCATTTGCCGAGCTGGCCGATGCCAGGATCCATTTTGATCACATTGACTCAACCATTGTCCCGATTGGAAAATGTTTTCGCTATCGAGCGAAACGCCTAGCTCACATTCTATTTGTTTATCATGGTAAATTCTCTGCCGTTGACATTGTTTACGAAAAGTGTATGCTCGCCGGAAAAAGTAACTGAAACAACAAGCTCCAACAATAAGAATTACAACCGCTGTCAACAGTATGTACGACATGTATTTGAACACAAAGCATCCTACTGACGAACATTCAACTGCAATATCCTCCTTGCCGTCGTCGACATTTTCCGACAGAACTTTAACCAACATAATCAGAAAACAAACAACTCTTCGATAATAAATCATCCTATAAGACAGAAGAAAAAACGTTTAAAACTTTGTACGTTTGTCTTTGTCGACAGCCCCGTTATTCGTGTATACAAACTAGACACGTGTTGACACAAACATCGAAACAGACTCTTACCTGTACGTATATTAACTGATTATATTGTAATATGTACATCGGTTGTTATACATCACCGACCGATCATTCTTTGTCTGTATGGTTTTATTCGAAGATACAGCTTGATAGATTGTTTTTTATTATCGGGTACTCAATATTTTTTGTATTGAATCGAAATAATAAATTTATATGAAAGAAAAGTTCGTTTTAGTATTTGCATATGTGTTGCTAAATAAAATGTAATTCAAGAAAACGACGAATATTGATTTCATTGTTTTCGTGCTCCCCATTTCAAGAGAAGAAGAATGCTGAAAAGAATTACATTAGATTTATTGGTCTAGTCACTTGAAGACAACAGAAATCCATTAATATGCTCTGTTGGTGTTGACACACGTATTTTCAGTTTAAAATTTAGATTTTGTTCTAGAAACGACTCACTTATCATTAAAGTCAAAGTAAGACTATTCTTCGACTTCACATTCACAATTGTACTAACAGTTGATTCAATCTCTGCGTTGGAATTTTTCTAGATATTCGATAGATTCTTGTTTGAAAAATAATCGATAGTCGAGAAGGAAGTACCGTCAGCTTTTGATCTTGTTTCTCGTTGATAAAATTATTTGGAAATCTAACAGGTTTCTCGAAGTTCGACCAGTATAGGCATGCGACAGTTCCGAGCTGTTGAATTAAAATGGGTACAAGCATCATATGTATTCTTTTCATTCAGCATTTAATATTTCGAAAGAAAAATGTTACTGTTACTATTTATATTATAGACTTTGGACAAGAAGACAACGTTTTATTGTCATATTTCTCAATGGTGCTTGCGTTATCGGTGTGTCAACAGCTTTGGGTGTTTTCGTGCCTACATTGATAGATCCTGACACAACGAGTAAATGAATCAGAATGACCGTCTAGATCTCAACAGGTGGCTTATATAATTTTACGCTTTTTAGCGACAAGAACAACGTCCACGACATCAAGTTGGTTCTATCTTCAGAATGTCAATACAGAGTGTAAATTATAAAGATGCAAGACTTGTGTGAGAAGTCTACCATTTCCAGAAGTGTATATCATAGTCTTACAGTCAAATTAATCGTCATATTTTTATATTTCTTTACCTTAACAAAGCAACTGGTCAACTAACGATTTTAGAGTGAACGAAAATGTGAAAAAATCTCACCGATTTTCATTTCAATCTGTTTAAGTTTATTTACAAAATAAGATGATGAAATCAACTAAGAAATGTGCATGGGGATATCGCCTTCATTGTTAATATCTATTTCAGTTGGAATGAATTGTAGATTATTTAAATTTTCAATCGGACGTGTCATCGACCCTGAATGTCGTCGCGGGGTAAATTCGATCGAGTCACCTAAATACAATGGATAGAATGGTTCCACTAAATTCGTATCAGTATTTGCCATGGAAAATGGATTTTTATAATTTCTGGAGTTTAAGTAACGTAGTTCGTCTTCATCCACCCATGTATAAGCGATACTCGATGAATTCAGTTCGCACATTATCGGAGAAGGAAAAATAATCAAATCCATTGATCGATATTCTGTTCGTTGATCATTGTTTGAATAACAAGAAATTGTTCCTGATAAGAGAAGTAGTCGTTGATTTGCTTGAAGTTCAATCGTTAGATTCGATTGATTTTTATAAAACATCGCTTTCTCATTTAGGAAAGTTTTCAGTTGTGGATGAGTTAATTGTACTAAACTTCGATAGTTATTTGTAATCACATGTGCGGTTATTTCATTATAGATCGAACGAGATATTTTCTCATCAGATAATAAACTATGCAACACCACTGCGTCAATCACAAATGTTTCCACGAGTCCACAACTTGCATAATAAGTTCCATTCGATGAGGATTTGTTATTAAAAAAGGCATCAGCTCCGATGATATTTCCACATTTATAATAAGTAGTTAATGTACCATTTTTATGTTGAACAAGACCACGAATAATTAGATAAGCATTTGTGACTTTTTGATTTCTTTCTAAAAGATTGCTGTCAGGTTGAAACCATCGATGTCGAGATTTGAATAATGTTTCCCATTGATTTATTTCGATCGATGAAAGTCCTCGAAAGTATCGAAGTAAATAAATTGCTTTTTCGAATTCTTTCTTTTGATTTGTAAACACTCGGATCTTCCCATATTCGAGATTGAATAATTTATTCTCAATTAATTTCAATATGTGTGAATATTCATTATCTGCAAGAATACCTGTTTCATACAACTGAATAATCGCAATTGATTCATATTTTAGAAGCATTTGAGCACATCGTCGTGTCATTTGAACAATCCAACATAATCGATAGGATTGTTTCAAGTCCAAGAGAATATACATGGCATTGATTTGATACGTCTTCACTTCATCACAGATTTCATCCATGATTCGTTCGTTCAAATTACCTAGTTCGGGAAATTGTAAACGAATATTATCAAGTCGAGTTTTAGCAGAATGAAAACCTAAAATACACAACAATTCTTCAGATATTTTAGAAAACATTTCAACTCACTCAAAGTCAATTCAATCGTTTGGAAAATATGATCGAAGAATAATCCATCTGTCCATTGATTAATACAACGAAAACGATCAAATTTGATGAGATATCGAAGAAAGATTGATAATCGAAAATGTTCAAGAATAAGTTTCCAATGAAGTTCAAGTGAACATTTTTGTTTAGCTTGTTCGACCGATTTAATGAGAATGTTGAGTGTTTTTCGACGAATCATACCCAAATACCATTGTTTCTCATAATCAATCGCCATCGCCGTAAGGAAACGAGTGATTAATTCATTACGAATATTTTCACCATGGTGATTGGCATCTGTAATTGGTACAACGAAATCTTTTGTCTTGCCTACAGTGGGATTTGGTTGTGAATCATAATCCAAAGGTGTAGTTTGATTAGATGGTTGTGGAGCTGACATTGAGGAACTTTCCATTGTCACTCGTGACAATTGTTGATGGTAATTGGTGTGATTTTCTTCATCTAATTCTTCCAATAGTTTGTCAGGCAAGTATTCGGTTAAGTTCGTCCAATCAACATCTGCGAACTTTTCGTCTTCTTTCATTTTCGTTAATTTCCACGATGTTTGTCGTCTGACATGTTCGAATGCTTGTAAAAGAACAATCTCACTTTCTTTTGTACCTAAAACAATACAAATCGAGTTTAGCTAAGTTCATCACTTGATCGAATTACCGTGGTGTAAGCCTAAAATCTTCACTAAATATTTGCTACTTGTTCCATTAATAATCAAAGTCAGTAAGACAATCATTGAGATATGAAATAGAAAACGATGACGTGTGATTGTTTCGATTTCTGTATCAAGACTGACGATCAACACTAATATAAGTGACATACTACCACGTAGACCACTCCATGTCAAAATCACACAATCCTTCCATGATAAATGAACACCCGAGCACTTCATTAATGGATATAATATGATAACCGTTACCAGTCGTCCAATGTGAATCATAATATACAAAGCAATGGAGAATCCGAAATCTTTCGCAGAAATATCAGTAGCAGTACCGATGAATAGTCTAGCGAGAATAATACCAGTGACAGTAAAGATGAGAACATTGATAAAATAAGTAACGACTCTCCAAGCACTTGCCATGGCTGGTTGAACATTGCTGCTAATACAGTATTTGTATTTGCTCATGTATAAGCCCATGAAAACAACAGCAAGAACGGCTGATACACCCAATTCGACATCAGACACGTAGAATATCAAATATGCCAGAGCGAATGTAAATGCTATTTCGATTTCCAGTTCGTTATTGATTCGATTCAAGACAAATACACTGATTACCCCACAAGCCAAACCGAATGCAGGCCCACCTAAAGATTTCGTTCTAGATCTTCATTACGTCTCTGTTTAGCACTAAAACTTACCAATACTGTACTTAACGATGTCCACAACGATCTTTTTTGCACCATGATTACCCGTGACAAGTATATCATGAAAGATGAGAAATATCACAAACGCCGAACCATCATTCAACAACGATTCGGAGTCGATCAACGCAGCTAGAGATTTGCTTGCACCTGAGTCATGCAACAGAGCAACAACAGCGATGGGATCAGTGGCGCTTAAGATACTTCCAAACATGAGACCAACTAACCATGACCAACCGTATGGAAAGATATAGATTCCACATATGGCGATAACTCCAGTGGAAATAAACACGCCAGGACCAGCGAGAAGAATAGCTGATAATAGTTGTTGTTTGATCACATGAAAGTGGCCGTTAAACGATGAATCGAATATTAACAATGGTAAAAAGATGTAATACATCAAGTGAGGATTGATTTGACTTAATTCAATTTCACCATATAAGAAATCATCACCTGGATTATCAACGCGTGCTGCAATAATACCAATGATAAAGCCAATGAGAAGAACAACAACCGTGAATGGCAGAGGAATTTTATTTTTCAAAAACTTCGATAGTATGATTTTGTATATACATGAGGACAAGACTGAAAATGAGAGAAATAAAATAACTGTGCTTGATTTGGAGTCACTTTCGGAATGACTGTCGACTGTAGAATTCATTTATTGAAATAATCTAAAAGATGTAAATATAGTTGTCAAAATATTTTATGATAGCTGTGCAGAAAATTTTCTTGAAAAGAAAAACGTTGATTTGTTATAGGTTAAGACGTCAGTGATGTTGTGGAACACATATGCAAAATAATGACGTGATCTTTCGTGTTTACACTGTTTAAAAGCATACTTATCTTTATATTTTAAGTTGATTCAGAGTTCGGCGGGACTATGTTTTTCTCATACTGGTTGTATCAACATATTTTCTGTCGCTCAGATCGATGCATAGTATGAGATAAAATGATGTCGAACGTATAGAAAAATATGGAGCGGTGATGAAACATCCTGTGATTCTAACTGAATAGAAATATTTTTGTATAGATCTACATTTCCAACTTGCATTGTCGACAAGGGAATCAGCAAAAAATAATTCTGTGCAAGTAGAAATTACTCAGTGATGATATCTCGAAAATATCGACACGAATAAATGTCTCATAAAATTCAACGAAAAAATAGTTTACTCACTGATCCGTGACAAATAAAAAAACCTATATACATTGAATGCACATTTTTGCACATTAAGGTGTCGAAAAAGCGAGGGACCGCAAGAAAAAATATACACGTGATCTGAATTTTTTTGTCATAGTATTTATCTTTGTGCTAAGGCGTTGTTTGTAATGTATTGTTTGTTTAACCTGCAGGTAATCGAAACGCAAATATGTGAACAGCAAAAATATCAAAAATGATAATCGTAACAAAAATGCAAATAACTACCTGTGCCTTTCAGCATGATGACGTCATTCGCACACTACTGATATAAAAAGACGCATAGTGGAGCAACCTAAGTTTACTAATCCTATGGCTGGATTTGATATGCATAGTGCTATAGCATAATATAGATGAAAAGCAGTGGTCATTAAATTTTCAACAGTTGACAAGTATTTTTTGATGCATATCCACGATCATTATGGACGATGTGGTATACTTCTGTTAGCCAACGGTAACAGGAAGCGTTCCGAAGATAATTTTAGCATTGTAAGATGTTTTTCTTCAGAGTCTGCGAATTTTTACAAAAGTTGACGATAATCTGTAAAACCAACAAGCGAAAAGAGAACGAAATTTCTAAAAACTCGCACGGGATTATATTTTAGATATCCTCTTATTCGTCACACCTCTGAGTGAAATATCCAGTTTGTAATACTCAGTTATTCTTCGCCAGATCTAACGAAAGACAATCAAAGTCAAGCAATTCGAACCGGCATTATTTTTCAAATGATATAAAACCTCGATCGTAGCTTATTACCGAGTAAGCTATGTCTGCAGGAATTCAAATAGTTATGTTTATGCTTGAGTTGTGCGACAAATGAAAATGTTTATACGTGTTTGATGTGTACATCTATGAACTCGCAATTATGTTGAATATATTAGAATGCATTCGGATTCAATTGAAAAGATTTGTATAGTATTGGCCAGTGCGACAGAGCGCTGAAAGTGTTCCGGAACCGCATATCGATGGATCTTGCTCATATATCTATTCGAAAATTCCTTCCAATTTTGCCATATTTGATTCTGTTAGTTTCACTTAGAAATCATTGAAGTAAATCTAAAGAATTGTGATACTTCCCTATACAAATCATGTTTCCTTATTTATCATTTTATTATAATTAAAATTGAGACAAAACTATGAGCACTGCGAAAGTCATTCGGCAGTATTAACTATCGCAACTGTCCGATGATCTATTGGTGATACTCGATTACTACGAACACATCTTCGTAATGAACAAACCTGAAACACCCGTTGCAGTTTACTACGAAGTTCAGGTAATGCAATAACACACACAAAGGGGTTGAGTAGAGTTGTGAAATACGAGCAGTAATAACTTATGTTATAAAAATCATAGGCAGATGGATCTAGCACTCCAACTGTATCCATAGTGTACAAAACCATTGATGGAAATACAATAATCAGATATATACCAGTGATCGATACCAATTGAATAGTCATTTTCCGATAGTTTTTCCATTGCATTCTTTGGCTAACACGATACTTACTGTACCAAACCCTTGCCAAAAGTGCTAGACTAAAGATAGCAATCATACATATTGGCACGACATTATGTGCAAGACTATCCCACACACTAAGTGCGCCAATATTGCCTGCACATGTTGCAACTCCACAATCTATTTGCGTATAGTCCAGAATAGGTTCACAAGGTAGAATAAAATAAATGATGATGTAATACACAAAAGGGTAAATTGTAACCATGAATATCGGTAAATAGTGTAGAAAGAAACGTGCTTTTCGTGTTCGAAGCAGATTGTGATGAAAGACGAGAATATGTCGTTCAATTGCACCCCAAGCTACAAGTAGGGTAATGACTACATATACAGCATAATCAATATATGTCCACGTAAAGCAAAATACACGTGTGAATACTGAAACATGGCCAGTTCGGTAGAAATCGATGAACCAAATTAAGTCCGTCAGATTGAGAAAAGTGCCAAAGGCGAGAATGAGAATAATAAAATGATTATGTAGAGCATTTCGAAGTATTCGATCGACAAGAAAATGATAAAGACAGAAGAGAGAACATAGAACAGATGGAATAAGAAAAATGAGATACAACCAAAAACAAACTGGATATGGAACAGACATGTTCAAATGCAATTATTACTGTAACTGTAGTAAATCTAGAGAAAAGTATGTTTGTGTCACATTTCTTATATATTAATTACTGAATGAGTTTGAACATGAACGCTTATAATATTTTTTCTCAACCATCTCCATGATACGACATGACGAAAGGACTAGTTAATCGAGGGATTTTTGTTTGTTCTACGCGATCTCTCGTCTATGTCATTGCGTGAAAGGTTATAGTAATTAAAGACTGAAAAGAATATTCAGTGTAAAAGATTCGTTGTGGATCGCAATTTAAAGTATTATACAATACGAATTGATTAAATATGGATCTTTATTGTCTTTGCAGCACTATAGGAACACTATGCATTCATTCATCCATTTTTCAGTGAGTATTTTAATATGCCTTGGTTTAACATGATCTAGCATTGATTCAATGCGTTAAAGAATGCCACATTTTCATTTGCGTTGATTATTCTTGACTCGTTGTTAATGAATAATAACGTAAGAAGCATCATCACGAATGCACATTGTCATCATAAGTCAACTTAACGACCTTGTGGCATCACTTTTCTCTACATGAAATATTTTGATTATTCACAGATGATTCTGTGTTCGAACTAGAAGCAACGTAAATGTAGACACGATTAATTTCAAAAGAGCTTTAGAAGATTTTATGATTATTGCCAATTACAAACAACAAATTTCGAGATTAATTAAGATAAGCGACGAAGAACACGTTGTACAAATGGGTGAGGGTGAGGGTGTGGGTGAGTGAAACCTGGTTAAAACTGTTCCCAAGTGATTTTCGTGAGAGATAACACCACCAAACATCCAACTCTCGAAGATGATTGTCAGCCGATGGACTTAAGTGAAATTCACTCAAATCATCTTCACGAGAGCACTACTAGAATCTATTAGTGGCCTTCATTCGTTCATGTATAAAATAATTCCTGAAAGGTTAACGCGATGATGGAGAAAATGTCCCTGGCGGTGTACCATTACATCAAGATCTTGCTGGAGGTCGAAGATGAGACTTATTGGACGAGTGATTTGTGAGTTAATAAAAAAAGGAGTATTCATATTTCCATAGAGCTCCTTTTGTCTTTTATCTGACACATTTTTTACAGTACATCTAACTTTCGGCAAACTCAAAGTTTCTGCATTTATTTATTCCGTCGAAATATATTCTAGCTTCAAAGGAAAAAATGCCATTCGAAGTGAATCCCTCTCATGACTGACTATAAGACATTGCTCCTAATGTAGAAGAAAGGTCACCTATACATAGACCATCATAAACCTGTTATGGCTTCGAATAAAATCAATCAAACCTGAATAACATTTTCTTTGGTTATAATTCTTCTTTTTAATATTTGCAGAAAAATTTTACATAATAATATTGTATTCGTGGGGCTTTTTTCTTTTGTCAATGTGACCACATGATCGGGATTTACTATTGATGAAATATAAGTAAACATTTTTCACCGCGGTGAACGAAACAAAAGACGATATCATTTTGTATTGACTATGATGAAAATACTCCGTGTGCACAGCATTCAGTTTGAGAATCGATTTAAAGCGGTAATTCTTCTAAAAGATGTTCTTCTCAATCTGTTGTCGTTTCTCTCGTAGAGACCACAAGTTCAAGCACATCAGTTGAAAAACGAAAATAATGTAAATGATTGCTTTTATTGAACATATCTTTTTGATGCATCATACAGAAGCCCATCGTTCATTCAGCAACCTTCTCTCATCTTTCCACAGATATGTACAAGCCAAGTACTGCCGCGAAGAATTTGTTGATTGGATGAAAAATGATATCTCGTTTATTTTAGCACACGTCCGTCGTAAATCATTTCAACGTGCAAGCGGGAACAGCTGTTACTCTTTGGGCCAGTTCTCGCCGTAGATCATAGCTATATAACATTATTACTTTTCCGACAAGCGAATGGAGTTGTACCTGTTGGTGTTCGTTCTTGTCTAATAATGGTTACCATCACTATCGCGATTGGGCCGATGAATGATGGTGATGCCGACATAGTATGGCATTGTTTCAACCGCTGAAAGCCTCGCGAATCTGTCCTTGTGATGTATTCGGAGAAAACCGACATTATTTCTTTTCACTTGAAGTTTTTTATTACCCATTGATTTACGTTTATCGCATATTGACGAAAGAAAAGGTCTTATCTTCGAAAGCAAATTTGAATACATAAAGTCAGATTTCATTCATCGATTATAACAAAAGCGTCCTGATGTGTAGCCATTCTTGCTTTTATCGTTCGCTTGTATATCTTCACGTTCTAATCGCCATCTTTGAATCTGCCACAACCATTGGGTTATTCGTCTTGATCTCCATCACTCATCAAGAATTATTTTTCAAAACCAAACATCCCGAAGATGGTGATCTGCAAGCAGTTGGTACTATAAATATAATAATCATTTTCGTTCTATTTCTTGCTGGTGCAATTCGCACAATAATTTTACTCGTATTCGTCTTTCTAGTATTACTCATGCCCAGTGTATGTTTTTGCATGCTATGCATTCCACACTGTCGAAATCCATATTGTAAACTATTGAGATCGAGATCAACCAATCGATTTCTTTCATTTAATTGCAATTGCCCATGTTATCGTGCGCGTCCAAAATTACGCTTTCAGATGCAATTTATATTGATTATATTTATCTCATGTATTCGTATAGCAATGATAATCTTCTGTTTCACCATCCAACACAATATTGCAACGAAAAGTCTTGCTGTTATCGTTGCCATTTCATTCTTCTTTCTGATAATCACTTCTCTCCTAGATTTCTATCACTATCGTGTATGGTGGCATTACAAACCGATCTTAAGTAAAACTACGGAACACGTTGAAATACCAACGGCACCACTATCGAAGAAACACCAACGTTTTATTCCTTATCATTTATTGGGTGACAATCGTACTACACATTTCGGCGATAAAGCCTGTTCGAATAACCGATGTCAAAACCGTGATTTAGAACACATATTTATCTTTCATTTCAAAGGTTACAATCCCCAGCCACGTTACTTTGATCTCGACGAACGAACGCGTTACATTGGCTTCCATCAAACAGATCCGGAGTCGGCAATACAAATTGCTCATTCTGACTTTCGAATCAGCGTCAAACATGAATGTAGCATGTTAGGTCATGGCGTCTATTTTGCTCGATCGAGAGAAGGAACAGACAGGAAAGCGAATCGTCAAGGTGCGTTTATATGCGCCGAAATTAACATGGGAAGAGTGCTGAGAGTGAATGCACACGAAAGAAATCTGTATCGCGGTAAAAAAGATTGGTGGACGACCCATGATTCAGCTTATTTCTGTCATCCGGATGCTGCTTTTGATGAATTCTGTATCAAAGATCCATCTCAAATTCTCAAATGGATCATGGTGATCGAGAAAAACGATTCGAAAGTTGAACTTTATGGCTTAGATCAAGAATTTGATGATACGAAATGTTCGTGTATCTAGGAAATTTATTTTCACAGGTATTCACAATCTACATATAAAAAGACACGACTCAAGTTGACACTTTCTTTCTTTTTCCTCATTTTAATTGTCAACTAAAAATTTTCGAACTCGGTTGCCGTAATTGTCTGCAACATAAATATTTCCATCTCTATCGAATTTGAATCCCATTGCTCGACACATATGTCTCGGATCTTTAGTTAAGTTGTCAGCACCGATGATAACTTCTCCTGATTTGATTCCAATTGTCCATCGGACTATGCGAGCGTTGATTGAATCACAGACATACACTTCTTTCTCATCATTGTCGACAATAACTGCAGATGGATAATTGAATTGATTCAAATTCGTGCCGATATCGTTACCACCAGCAACAATGACACCTTGTTTACTACCGGGAGCCCAACGTCGCACACATTGATTCACGAAATCTGCCACATAGAGATTACCTGATCTTTCGGCGACGTAAATACCCATCGGATGATATAGTTGATTTGGTGCACTACCATAGCCATTGCCACCAGCGACTACTTGCTTATTTTTCCCATTTCTATCGAATTTAAATACAGTTGATTGTATCCAATCAGAAATATAGATATTGTCATCTTTATCCACGAAAATTCCTGAGCATGATTGAATAACTCCACTTTTGGCGTCCATCAATGTTATTGCTTGTCCACCTGGTGTGATTTTCAAGACTCGACACGGGCAATAGACTTCCGCGACATAGATATTATCATTTCTATCGATAAACATCGCTGATGGCTTGTTAGCTTTATCGTACGGTCTCCAAGGATTAGTTCTAGAAGCAAACTTGCTCATCGCAATCATTTCAGTACAGTATAATTCATTCTTACTCAGTACTGTTCTCAAACTTGTAGAATGTCACTCCGGTTCGATTACCATTACCATTGACTGGAAAGCGTTGTATACGGCTGTTCTCGTAATCAGCTACGTAAAAATATTGATTTCTACTATCGATCACAATATCCGATGGAGTATTGAGTTCATTAGGACCTGAACCTGAATGTCCTTGCTCGTCACCTGCTACCACTGCGCCAACCTGTTGCCATCTCCTTGCTGCGTTACTTCTTACTTGATTCACTACAAACTCGACCTGACTTAACAGTTGAGGTCTCTAGATGGTAACTCACTTGAACCATTTCGACTCGATGATTGTCTGCCTCCGTACATGTCCGTACTCGCTCGTTTCTCTTCACTTGAAAGCAAAACGCAAGAGAAAGTTTGATTCAATCTGATTTCTTAACTATCGAGAATATGAATTGCCGTCGTCATTTTCACGTGCTTTTTATCATTGCAGTAAATACTTCGAAAAGCAAGAAAACATGCCCATGTACAGAGAACATTCGTTATTGCAATCAAATTTGCAACGACATTTTTCCACGAAAGCATACCGGTCGGTCATATGAACACATCAAATAAATTCCTAATTGCCGACAAATAATATTGCAAATCGAAAACAAAATGCTGTAACCATTAGTATACACTTATGACCACAACAAAAATCAAATCAATCAATGAATGATAGATACAAATATTTTCTACCTGAGTTTGTTGCTTCCCTAATGATTATTCATCTATCATTCGTTGCAATCAAAAAATAATAATTAATTAACTCTCTTTTCACGCTGATGACAGACATTACTTGTAATTAGGAGAAAAACAGAGAGTAAATACAAATATCTGAGTGTAAGGAAAGAAATTTGTTTCTCTTGTTTCCCGGCAAATGCAATGTGTCCGTGGAAATTTTTTTTTTCTGTAAAGAAACAAATTTTCATGTTCATCAGGATAGGAGAAGTTCCTTTTTTGTCGGATGGTCTTCTGTTTATCGGCATGCTGGTGTATCGCAAGTATTTTAGTCAAAGAGAAGCGTTCCGGTAAAAGCGAGAACAAAGTTTTATTCGCATTGACATTTCGTTGGTTTCTTTTGTTAGCCCATGTTTGAAACGGCAGTTCGATAAAATGACGAGCAAATACAGCAAGACCAACACCAGCGAATAATTTTATAATTACACCGTTTTCGGTCATAGTGCTGACTAAAAGTAAATATGCTTTAGGTAGTGTTTCACTTAAACAATAGAATGTACAGAAAAATTCACCCATCTAGATAGACAGGTACACATCATCAAGGATACAAACGCGCCCATGTGTAGTACAGCAGTATATTTGAATAGATTGAGATCTAGATATAGCAATGATGAACCGATGAAAAATAAAATTCCGAAAATGAAATGAACATCCAAGTTGGAACAACGGCACCCACACATTGGATGTGTTGGTAGTGGAGATGCCCGTGTTTTGTTCTTGATCAGCGTCTTACAGTTAAGTCATGTCTATGTTAATATCATATTGATGACGATTTTAAGACGAAATGATACCGGTAAGCATTGCAAAAATAAATTCATCGATTCATGTGTAAGGTAATATGTTCAGTGTTATTCTTGGGAAAGAGAATCTTCGACGTGTTGAATTGAAATGGCGATGGTATAATTTGACTTGTGTTTAGCATGTAGCGATTCAGAGGACGAACAATTCTGTTTGTACTTAAGTAACACGGTCGATCTTCACTCCAAACACATCGAATAGTATAAATCGATAAAAGCAAGGAGAAATAATACAATGGAAACAAACGAGCTGCTCGTCTTCCGATGAACGAGCAATAATACTTAGCTGACTGAAATTTGCAATAGCCGTAATTCCAAACCATAACAAAGCCACTCAGACAAAAAGAATAAGGCGACAACACCTACTTCGTATAAACCTATGACGGACTTTCTATTGTTTCTCCATGTGTAGAATGGTATTTTAATATAATAAGAGGCAAAACATCTTATGATTACACTTGATTAAATTATATTGGAATGCATGCTGATATTTTCGAAAGTCGGAGTAGAAAAATGATGAATTCTAACACAAAGTATATAATAGAAGTGGGTGAGTTCATAGGCGATATCTGAATAATTATTTGGTAAATAACTTGTTTTTTGTCCTTTTCTTAGTCATCTAATAAAACATCGAAATTGAATGAGATTGGTTAAGTTTTTCCAAAGTTCCGGCAAACACCCCAGGCATACAAATGGTAGAAAGATAATCACATGATCAGTGAGATACGATAGAACTATCGATGCTGGCTCCTGCAGCATCAATCCCAGCAAATGCATTATAGAAAGAAAGAAAAGTGGAAAATTAACGGATAGATACAATGCGGAAATACTGAGTAATTGAATGGCCATTCTGCGATATTTCTTCCATACGATCGGCTGATGAGCCGTTCGTTTGTGACAAACGACGCGAATCAATAGCGTAATATTGTAGAATATAATCAATATTGTAGGTACAATCCCATGTAAATAAAGTTCCCAATAAGACAGAAACTCTTTCTCATGATAACAACCATAATCTCCGCAAACGTCCCAACTATAATTCCAGTCAGTGGTACACGGATATAAAAATATTACAACGATGTAAAACAGTGTCATATAGATAAGAAGAGAATATAATGGTATATAATGAACAATAATTCTCTTTAATCGAGTACTGACCAGTTGGTGATGAAAAATGAGAATGTGTCGTTCGAATGAGGCCCATGCTAACAGAACTATAATGGTATTATAGATTCCATAATCGACAAACAACCAAATAGAACAAAATACCGATGATTTTAACCATACTTGACCATCCAAGTAGTAATATATTGTGGTGTTGGATACATTGAACGAAACATAAACTGAACCAAGAATAAGTATAGTGATGATGGAATGGTGATGGATGGATTGGCGAAGAGTTTGTATGACAAGGAGATGAATGAGAAGAAAGAGAGAACAAAGAAGAGAAGGTACAATGAAAGGAACAAGAAACCAAAAACAAAGACGATTGGACATCAACGAAGCATAGTCATCAGCACTATCGTTAGACTCGTTCATCGTATTATTCAAATACATATTTAGTAGGTAAGTGGAAATGACACAGATCGTCTTTTTTTCATCTTCTTTTAGATCACATGATGGTAGTTCGTGCTCGCTTACACCTATGTAATTATCATTAGCTTTTCACAGGACGTATGTTTGAACGCTCAACGGATGTTTATTACGTCTCAAAAGTACACTCTGATTGGCAAGAATCCGGTGCATGAAAACTTTGCCACTTATTGAACTTTTATTCTAGAATTGAACTTGGAATCAGTTCTGTTCTGTCATTTTAGTACTTGATAATTCATGTTTAAAGATCGCTTGTTGGAGTTTGAACGTGAGCATAAAGCTAAATAGAGACACATAATAATTTATTCGTGCAGATTGCTCAGATTGAAATTTAACAATGATATATTCCATTTATTTGCTACGATACTTACAAAAAAGTCTTCATTACTTGTTTTTATGAATATAACTATCAAGTTTGTATACTAAAAGAAAAAGTGATTGTCTATAGGGCGTTGTTTGGATGGGGGGCAGAACATGAATTGTAGAGTAAATTTCAAAAATAAAGCGTACAGTTATTTAATTCATGCATCGTAATACTCGTTATCGCATTAAAACATTAAATTCGACAATTTCAAATGGTCTCAACTGGTTGTTCAGGTAAGCCAGCTGCTTGTCGGATAATATCATTGATTTTCTCTGCACTCGCTAACAGAAGCTCAGAAACTGGAAGTTTTATGTCTTCTGCGTCTATATCGCCATCTTCAGCTAGTGCATCCAACAAGGTCAGGTAATTTAAAATATGCTTATGGGCTTTTTTGTAGAGTCTGTTTTCGAGTTCGTTTATATGGAAAACTTGTTCGCAGAGTTTTGAACGTTGATAACGTTTATATTCGGTCACAAAGCCGTCTGTATCACAATAAAGGTGGAAACGTCTGCGTACATTTGGTGGACTACCATAGATATTAACCATGACAATAGCATGATGAGGAAGGAATATGTCTATTTCTCCCGTAAAGTTTGCATAATATTCTATTATTTCTTTGCATTGAGGTGGAGTGTGGCAATGGAGGAAAAAGTGCTGGTGGAAGAAATCCGGTCGATCAAATCCCTGTAAGGCGTTGTTTGATGCCAGAAGTATTAGTATTGATGAAGGATCCGCCCTGAGCATTGAATTAATCATCTGAAACTACAAAACATTTGATTAGCTAGAAATGTATCCTATTCCGCGACTTTGTGCATCGCCGGAACTGGTTCCGGCGATGCACAGGATTGTGGAATAGGAGAACTGCTCATTTTATTCTATTCAAAAAACTTAGCAGAGGTGAGAAAAGATATTAATAATATTATAGTCAACATTACTTTGCTTAAGGAAAACGTGAATCAAATATGTAGAATGTAAACTTAAATGTGAGCTCTGATTGAGTTAGTTTCTTTTCGTAAGAAACACTGATGAGTTCTGATTAAGTTCTATTGCTTTCTGGTAATATTTTTGTGCCAACTCGCGGTTCATATTTTCTGCACAGAATTCTCCGATTCTCTCACATATCGAGGCACGCTCAGCAGCCCATTGCAGAGCAAGCGCTCTTGATTGATAGTATATTTTTTGCGCGTTTGGAAATTCTTTCAGTAACATCTGATCACTTTCTGTAACTGATGGATGGTCACGTATACTGAGAATATAAATTTGATGAACACAAGCCATTGATGATAATTCTTTTAAAATATTCGTTTCGTCCTTTATGTTTTCCGATATGATTATAGGACAAATGTGGTCTCTTGAATGAATCTCTTTCAAGTTCGCGATAAATTCTGAACCGTTGTCAAATAATACGCCTTCTTCATGAGTCAGCGTTTTTAAAAGTGTGACAAGTTCATCACCTGCTGATCGTTGTTCGACCGTACAATAAATAAAGGTACTGTTGCGCAGATTTGCCAGTAAATCCTCTTCAAAATACGAATCGTCAAGTAGTGAATCATCTCTGGTCTCAATCATTCGATCGACTTGATTGATCAAACTGTTCACGTATCGCATAGGTTTTAGCGCTAAGTGTGCATCGAGTTTGTCTGCACGACCCAAAAGAATTTTCGCCCAATAAAAATAAGTCAACGCCTGGTGAATATTCGTTATTATGTCCTTTTCAAGAGATCTTTCTCCGATTTTAACATAGTAGTGTGATATGTCGCGCAATAATCGGCACAAAAGATCGAGTTCATGACCAAAAGTAAGCAGATAATCAGCATATTCCATCTGCCAATCGAGATCTAGCCATTCGTAAAATTGCAAAACGTAGATTTGAATGCGCCCATCTTCCAATTCTGCCGTATATTCCGAGCAAATCTGAGGAACAAACGTTTGTCCAATTACATCAGATACAATTATATAGATTTGCTTATCTTCTCGAATGCTTTCACAAATATAATTCAAACATGAGGCTGATTTAGTAAAAGCTGCCAACTGAGAAGCAATGCCAAAATCGATCGTTGAAAACTGGCATGAGCCATAATCTATATTGTCGTATATATCAACCATCGAGAGATCATCACTAGTGGACGGATCGATATTTCGAGCAAATACTCTCTTAAGATGAATATAATCATTTGGTGAACCAATATGATCGTCTAACCATATAATTGAAATATCATGAAACGATGTATTCATTTTTTGATCAACTGTATATTAAATAATCTAAAACGTGTATCGAGACGTAAACAAGTACACTTTCCTTTTCGCTTGCTGAAGAAAAAACCAATATAGCATCTCCAAAAAGGAAAAATGCCCATTTATATACACACACGACACACTCTCATCTCGTTACCTACTTCCTTTCTTTTTTTTCCAATCTCACTTTTCTTGTCAACATTAGTCTAGAGCAACAACAAAACTTTCTTCCTTTCTTTTTCTTCATACAACCAATAGAGCAATTGATGACTCAGAGAAGCTATAAAACAGATACGCTGTCTTCATGAAGTTTTATTGAGCATATAGTGTGTATCTACTTTATTTAGCATTAAATAGATTAGAAACTTTTGTTTTTATTCTTGCGATTGGATTTTTGCTGATTTCCTTATCTCAATGATCAAGGCAACCTACGATAACTTTGATAAGATCGACTAAAGATGTGTTCAATGTCCATTTGATTTTACATTTCAATAATTCATGATCGAGTTCCCCTTAAAATATTGTTTCCTTATATGAAAAAAGATTCTTTACTTTACTAACCATTTTCGTTCACATTTGGATGATTGACAGGAGTCAAAAAGTGTACCCTTGGTAGATTAACCGGATAAGTTTTACCCAATTGTAATTGTATTCTAACCGTAGATTTTTCAAAGATTTCCGAAGTGGGAAATATTTGTCCAACAATTGTATAGTTTTCCGTCTGATATGGCTCATCGTCGTCATCATCAGAAAATGGGGATTTTTCGAGTAAAAATCGAACAGATGCATCACTTTGATTCAAAAGTTTTAATCGGGTGACATTCAGATAAAAATTCCTGCTTGATTTCAAGTCAATTGCTTTGTTGAACTCTAGTAAAAGTTAGCAAAGCTTATAAATCATCATTTGTGCTACACATACTCGAATTCAAATCTTCTCTTAATTTCGAAAATTCTGCTTCACTCAATTGCGTACTTCCAGTAGTGATAACCTTCTGATTGTCTTTATCTCTTTTGATATTATATCGACCATGTGCAATTGCCATGGTTTCATCCGTAATTTGTTTTGATGGGTGGATGAAAACTAAGCCATCGAATGTTGCTGTGTAAATGAAGTAGTTTATGTGATTCTTATACTGAAATTCAGCGGCAACAACATCGCCAACAGGTGATTCAGTTGAATATACATATTTCGATAAACTATTTTTCGCTGTTTGAATTAGTTTATCTGGCTTTGTTCGTTGATTGTTTGGCATGATTTGGAAATATAATGAACCATGTTGAAATAAGACCCATTCTTTATGTTGATCACCAAGGACTGTCAGCAAATAGCGAATAGCATCAAGAAAAAAGATGCAGAAATCGTCTTCTGTTGCATCAGTCATGACAGATATGTGAAAATATAGAATCTAACGTTGTCACCAATATTTTCATGCAAACATACAGTGTATCATATGTGGTGTCATAGAGAAAATACCAACTATAAGTTAACTTATCTTTTTTCGTTCTGATAAAATGTGCAATATGAAAAGCTCCGAAAAAAATATATTTATGAAAAAAAGGAGCCTTTATCGTTAAGTCAATTGCGTATCTTATAATTCGCCATGTATTTGAGTGCTAGTCGTAAATCTTAGCTGAACGAAGATTTGTAAGATTGAGCGGGCAGATAAATTACTGTAGAGTATTCACTTTTGAGGAAAGATAACGAAAACGTAGCTACACCTATCGAGATTATATTGAAGGAAACGGCATATTATAAAGCTCCGTTTGTCGCTGCGGTCCTTTTCAATCACGGTTTCACAATTTCTCGACTAGTAACGAAATTTCATCCCCCTTGAATTTTGTAATCGCTCTAGGTATGGTACGAATCTTTCGCAACCATCTAATTTTACTTATTCAAAGACGTCATATGTAATTACATGAAGATCCTAACCCGATTCCATGATATTTGCAAGTACTTCCGCAATAATATTCTATAAATACACGCTCCATCATCATACACTAAAACGAACTTTACTTCCAGTTTACTCTCAAGAAGCAAATATGCCGATCTATTCAACACTATTGGCTCTCCTTCTATCGATTTCACACTGTTGTTCACTTGACTCAAAAATGTCGACAAGTAAATATTATCAATCAGAAAGAAATAATTTTAATAGTGCATATGTCTTAGGACTTCAACGCAACAGAAACACCATTATTCGAAAGTATGATTCGGAAGTAAACACTTTTTGTGCTGTTGACGGCAGTAGTACAGCGCACCTTGATTGGCAATATTTACGCATCGATGCGCATTCAAATTATGCTCAAGGTTGTGGGCAACAATTCACACGATCATTATTGACCTTAGACGAAGTCGACAGTTTACCATCCAACGCTGTCATCAAATCTGCTCAAATCAAACTATTTGGCTATCGTCCTGAAGAATTCGAAGCATATTCTTTTACCGATGGATCAACTGTTACCAACGAAGTATTCATCAAACGAATTCTTACTGAATGGGACGCCAATACAGTGACATGGATGACACAACCGAGTACGACTGATACCAATGCAGCCGTGATTCCAAGTACAGAAGCAACTTTTCCTGGTACATCAGCAAATACGAAGTTATATAACTTTACAATTGATATTACGTCACTCGTTCACGATATTCAATCAAGTGGACCAGGAAATAATCACGGTGTTATGTTTCAAATGAAAACAGAAGAGAAATATCGAGCTATGGTCTTTTGCTCATTCAATCATCCTGATATTCAACGACATCCACAGATTGTAATGGACATTGAATCTTCTACAACTTCGACTTCCGTGCGAAACGTTCTATTTTTACGAAACTCATTTATTCTTTTTTTTTTTATTGTCTCTCTAATCTATATTAAACCATTCGTTTGACATCTTTTCAATATACTCATGACTACGATAATTAGTTTGGAGACTCTTTTTTATTTGAAGTTAAAAAGTGATACATAAATTGTCCAAACCAATATGCAATGAACCTGATCCCGATGATTGCATGAAAATTTTCGTCAGGCCTGGCCAATTGAATACTTGTGAAATTGCTGGATACGTATTCAATAGAACTGTAATTGTGTATAGTTGTGTATTTGAATAATAGCCAGTAATTGTCAAATTGGTCGAGTTTGACCATCCTGCTGCCATTCGACAAGAATTGAGCGATATCGTATTAGTTTCTGACGGTGTTTCTATTGTGAGAGTAGTGTCGAACCATATTGCATATACACCAGAACCGCAAACATAATAATAACCAGAATTAGGATATACACTCGTGTTTAAATACCATGGAGAGGCCCAATTCAGTCCCGCATAATTTGATGGTAAAGCTGCTTGAAAGATATCTGCGTTTGGAATATCATCAAATGTAAGAGGTGTTCCACCGGACGTGCACACTAGAACACATCAGTATAGTCTATTCAACATGTCGTCTCTATCCATCGACTTACAAATGTTGGTTGTAGAAATACTAGTTGTAGTTGTTGAAGTTGTCATAGGTTCTATGTACAAGAATGCAATGCTCGATAGTTTTAGAAGATCTTGTGAATAAGAGACTGATCTTATTCATACTTACCGGGTGGTATTCTTGTCTCAGCAATAACGATCATCGTTATGGTATCTGTATCAACAACCATGTTTCCATTTAGATCAGGTATGTAATCAAATAGATTACAACGGGTGGCTAGCCGATGAAAACTGATGGCTTTACAATAGATTTCGGATAAGCAGCTTGTTTGACATTGGCGGACATTTAATGTGAGAAAAGTGTTGGACGGTAAACAAGTTGTATTTGCACATTGAAATTGCCATCCGTTTCTAACAGACATTCGAAATAATCGTGTGTTCTGTGAGCTCGATTGCATAATATATACGAAGAGCAATACGAAATAAATTTTTGTTCTAGCCATCAACAAGAAAAATTCTGTCGTTTATGACATATACTCGCACCCATGAGTTACACAATTTGTTAAATTTTGCTCTTGTAATACACTTTTGTTTTAATCAATGAAGTAGAAAGAAAGCGATCCTCATTCTTTATTCTCTTTGAACGTTCTAAAAGCACCTTCAGATTGAGAACAGTCACGAATCTTTTTGCTCTTCTTCCTCTCCAGATAGAAGTTACACTACTTTTGCATAAAAAATCATTCGTTTATTTAAATCATACTTCACGACTTCATATATCCTAATGAAGCCATCTTAGACAAGGATATATTCCGGTTACATGAATTGTACGTTGCGGGTTATTACAACTTCATTCGTTCGAGATCGACTTTATTTCTATTCGCATTGACAGTATTTTCAAATGTAACCGCAATTCTTTTTCGGTCAAATATTAATAGTTTAGCCTGGATGCGGATGTTCCCTAACGGGTTTGAATAATCGGCAAAATTGCTCGCGGTAAACCTTTCCAGACAAAATATGAAGAAAAAACGACATGAAATAATCGCACTGCATCCATATTAAACAAATATACCGTATAGCGATTATGGTCGGCGTACGCGTCGCTGCAATAAACACATTTAAACAATAGATCACCCCGAACGGAGTGGTTAGAATTATATGAACGAATATTTGAAGAAGTAGCATACGTGCCAATTGTCCTTCTGTTCGACGAGTGGGTGTCGTCGGACCGTTTTGTACTCCTGTACGGATAGAATGCTTACGAATATTGAAAATGGTCAGAGTGCCAAAAACTAGTATTAATAATGGTCCCAGCATGTAATAACCGATGACTTGAGAAAATGTATAAAGATTGGCTGGTAGAGTAGTGTATAGGCGGCATAGGCCAATTGTTGGATCGAAATAGTAAATGACAAACATTGGTATCATGTATATCGTACCTAATATTATACTGATAATAACTGTGAGACGTGCTATTCGCTTCGTGCTTGCTGAATTGAATGAGCGCGACTTCGAACTGGAACAATATCGATCAAATGACGCTAGAACGAGCATAACCCGAGCAAGTATCGGCGGTAAGAATAGGATATAATAGTATATACTACATCCTATCGGTGTATTCTCCCATCCGATCCACAAAGCACGTATAACTTGTGTTGGACATACCAGACAACTATAAATAATGTTCAAAATTGCGTAAGCAATGAAATAATGCGAGCAAGGTGAACTACGAAGAGCATTGGAGGAGAGGATGCGAATACTGAAACTATTTGTGACTAAAACTAATGTGAATAGTATGGGTTGAATATAAATATTTGATTTTAAAACTTGATCGTATAATGCACTCATGTTGATCAAATTGTAAAAAGTATCTTCAATCCAAATTTCAGTGACACCATCGCTGATAATAAATTACAAGCGTTGAAAAGTTTATAATAATATAATAACTATGGGAATCCAACACTATTTTCTGTCCTGGATTTATCTAAAATAATAGAATAGATGCTTGAACTATCGTTTCAGACAAAATTGAAACGATAGATTTTATATGAGCGCTGTAGAAGGTTGGGAATCAAACTGATATTTATAGGAATGTCACACACAGAAGAGTTCAATACAACATTTGTATAACATAAATGATGTCTAGACATATTTCCATCAATGTTTTTTCTCTGTGTACTAACAGTAAGATCGATATGATCGTGTTAGCAAGAGAAAATTGTGACTTATCCTTTTCTTTTAATTTGTGCGTGCTTTTCTAATTGTCACCCTTCTCGTGCGAACCAGCTGTGACGTTCATCTTCTCAGGCTCTTAACCTATCTCAAATTAACACGCGCCAAAAAAAAATGTAAGATAGGCAAAAATAGAAATACAGTTGCTAGATTGATTTACCGTATTAGACGATAATAGATATTTTCTTAAATGATTCTTTTATCATCTTCCATCAATTATTTTTACCATAATGTATTCCATCGTATTTCAAGCAAGCATATGGCCACAGCTTGCATTCGGATCAATAATAAGATTCTCTTTTCAACAGTTCTATGTCATCCGAGACTGAGGTTAGCAAGTAAAGGACAAAGAAAGATCTTTGACAAACAAAGATATAGACAAAAATCACTCTATTTCATTAATGAAACATTCCAATAAATACTGTCTATACGGATGGGTCGAATCATTTTTTCCAAGACGTATTTTCAATGGTGAAATTATATGACCATCTCATCGTGTGCTGCAAATGAATATTTTTTAGTTAAGTGAATGCTATCAAGAAAATTTTTATATTGATGAAATCTTGTATTTATTGTGTTTGTCATACACTTTAAAAAACATCACCTTTTTTTCCATATAGTCATTTATTATACATCAATAGAAATAGCTTTCATCACGAATCACGACTACTTCATTCCCGTATATGGTTCGATATTTTGAATAGCTACACCCGTGAAACAACTATCTCCACAAAATAATGAGTCGTATCCACATAATGATAAAAGATTGTGATTATTTTCATCGACATCCAACATTACAGAATATTCCTCTCCGTGTTGCCCAAAAGATGCATTTAACCAATTCAAACACGATGAGTAGATTCTATCCAGCGTTTGCTTTTCACCCTCGTTCCAGCCTTCATCGTGTGAATATAACTGAGCTTGATTTTCATACCAATCCTTTGTTTTACGAGCAACAACCTAAAAGTAACAGAGTTAAGTAGTGAAGAGTCATCATTTTCATGCGCGAGATTTGTTCAATCACAGTCTAAATCAATACTTCAAGATATTTTCCATACTAACCTCTCCATTTCGGACAAATATGGTCAGTGAAGTAGGTGGCAGATATCCTATCTGCCGTGAGAGTGTGTATTGATAAGAATTGTGCCATAGTGTTCGCATACGTTGCCATTGTTGCAAACTACTTCTGAATTTTTGCTGCATTTCTTCCGGAATCTCTGAATAAGACAATGAGGGAATCCTCAGCAGAGATCTGTTTATTCGTCGTACATTATGAGCATGACTTATGTAGAAAAACGTGATGATTGCTAAGAATCGAAATGCTGAACTGAAGAAAAATAAAATATTTAATATAACTGAGGAATGTCAATTTACGTACTTCATTTTAAGAGGATGACTGGAATTGCTTAGATAAATAGATATGCTTTTCTGTCGCTGTTTATAGATGTTTAATGAGCGAGGATGTTAACAAAGAAGTTAACCTTCTAATCAATGAATATTCTCTCATTGATCTAAAGGTCATGGGAAAAAAATGACAAAGAAAGAAAAATAAATTATATCCTGTCTAAAAACAAAANATTGGAAAAGAAAATGTTATCACCCAAATATGCAATAGCAACACGAAAGAAAATGGAAAATCTCTTTTCTCTTGCTTATCATCATAAACACGATTCAATTGTTTTATCAACATTTGCTTGTGAAGTCAATAATAATCCTGTTGATCATATTGTTCAACTCTTTAGTTCAGTCATTGAACAATATGCTGGTTTCTTCAAATCAATCACTTTTGCCATTCCTCATTCTCAAACACTCTTTGAAACATTTGAAAAACTTGATGGAACAGTCAATGCAACGAAACTCATTCGAAAATCAAATACAAACTTTGGTCCATATCGAATTATATCCGAAGATGTTCGAGTAAATGATCTTAATATTTGTGATTTGCCACCCTGTCAATTCGGTGGTCGATGTCATGAACGAAACAATCAAGTACATACAGAACATTTTTCACATCCACCTTTATGTCCCAAAGCGTGTCTTAATGGTAAATGTGATGAAACAAAAGATCTCGTTCATTTATATTCATTTATTCATCGAATTCGATGTCAATATGGTGGTGAATGTCGACAAATTGATGATGAAAAACATTGTCAAAGTTATGATCATCCATCATATTGTTCGAAAGAAAGTTCTTGTGAGAATATGGAAGCAATTCATTTACGAGAATATCGTCATTTACCACTTTGTCAATATTCTCATAATTGTATGGAACTAAGAAAGAAAAATGTACATCATATGAAATCTTTTCGTCATTGTCCTCTTATTTGTCCACGAAAGAATAATTGTGCTGATTTTCATGATCGAAAACATCTGTCTGAACTCCAACATCCATTTTCTCGTCCATGTCCATTTACACCATATAACTGTCGACTTCATAATGAACTTATTCAAGCGTCTGAAAGTAACAAACCTTCACAAATTGCTCAAACTCATTGTCTTGATTATTCACATGTTTGTCGATTTGGTCGTCATTGTCGTGATCAGACTCCGTTACATTTACAAAACTCAATTCATGTTGCTCGTGTGTTGTGTTCTGATGGCGACGAATGTACGAAGTTGAATGAAGAAGAACATCTGAATTTATTCACACATCAGAATATTCTCGACATTCGACTTGTTTGTCGACATTCAAATCAATGTCATGATCGTCATAAACTTGAACATGTGAAGAAATTTCGTCATCAACTGACTTCGGATGAGAATGGTGTTGTTCAATATGTTGGTTTGAATAAAACCATCGATTTTGTTCGAAATCATGCAGAAGCAGTGGAACGTGTGAATGAATATGTTGAAAGTGAAGGTTGGGAAACGTTGCCATTAGGAACGATTCCTGATGATATTCTCAGCTACATTCGTCATGTTCAACCTGTTCATCGATGTAATCCAGTGATATTTGAATCGATCATTCTTCATGGTCATGTCATGAGTCGATCATATATGGAAAAATTGAGGATTCCAAAGTTTGTTGCTAATTCTGTTTTACAACATAGTCGAGTGCGACGAATACCAAACTTAAGTACGGCAGAAGACAAAGCACGTGCGTATGTTATCGCATTGGTGAAAGATGAATTTGAAAAGAATGGATTTCCACCGAAAGACACAACGACACCAGCAGCAGCTTCTATTGCAACAGCGTTCCCAACTGTAACAACTTTGGCAAGTGAAATAACGATGAGTGAAAATCGTGTTTCAGCATTACTCGGAAAGAATGACACAGATGTGTTGAAACGAGTTGCCATTGAAATAGCTCAAGCGTCGATCAAACTACATGCAAATCCACTTGGAATTGGTTATGAAGTAGATATGAAGTTAGGAACTGATCGAACTATTTTCAGTGTTCTCGGACCACATCTGGGACATTACTATGGAGATATAGTTATTGTGTTTAAACGGGAGATTTTACATCATCCAGATGCGGAATTCACCATCCAAGCAGGAACTTCATTTCATAGTGCAAAAGCTTTTAACTGGCGTCCATGGTTGGGTGATGTTTTAACAGATGTGAACGAAAGAATAAAACTATTTCATGCATCGAAACTACATGCATCTGTTCCTGGTTATGATTATGCTGCAGCTTTAGAATTAATGGCTATTACCAGTTCAATCTTAGACAAGAAATCTATGAACATTAGTCTCCAAGATATTCTCACTCGATGGATTCAAGTTGACTCTCATCAAACAGTCGAAGCTCATTTACCTCAACTCATACCATTAGATTATATTGATCATATCTATTTACCACAAAACATCTATGATATGCTCAATGAAGCAACACAAAAATCCATGAAAGCAGTTTTTCGAAATCGTGTAACGATCACTTCACATGAAGGAACAGATAAACCTGGTTTTGGATTTGGTCCAGTACCTGCAGAACCAGCACGAGTTGAATATCAGAAGTATCTTACTCAAGAACTAAGCAGTAAATTCAGGAAACATATCGACACTCCACTACCAAGATCTATTCAAGGAACAATCATTACAATACCATCGACACACTTCGATCAACATTATGTTTTACCTTTGACAATTTCTCAAGCTTATCAACAATATTGTTCTGATCATTCACCACTAAGTGACATAACAATATTCATCTATTGGCAAGCAATGAGAGGAGATATGATGTTAACATTAGCGAATGAACAGATCAATCTACAAACAACACAAACAAATCTGAGTTGTTTAGTTTGTTATGTTGCTGAAATACCTGAAGTGGAAACCAACAATTATCATGAACATCATTCATATCTGAATAATGACAAACCATTTTCACATGATCTTCTCGCGAAAAATCATAAATATGCAGCTGGTTCAGATAATTTCTATGTTGGATGTAACACTGGTGATTTTCTCACGTTTTGTCTTCAACTTCATCTTTCAACAGGAAAAGTGACATTGTCACATGCAGGTGCCAATTCGATCTATAATCATGACAAAATTGTTCATACATTCAACAAATCACATCTGGATCTAAGTGCTTTGGAATATGTTCATGTGAGTGCTGGTGCACATACAGTGCCAATTCGAAATGTAATGATTTGTTTTGAAAAACAACATGAACTACATCCAACATATGATATGGAATTCAGTTCAAGTTCAGAATTAGTTGATGGTAGTCTTTCTTCAATATCATCTCTCAGTTCTCTGATTCCATGTGGAGACAATGTGAATTGTCTTCTTCAATTGTCACTTAGTGAAAAGGAGCACAATTCGAAGTTTTCTCATCCATGTCGATTTTCTGAACTGTGTCGAAATCGTGAACCAAACTTAACACACGAACCGCATCGAGTACCAACGTGTCAATATGATGAAAAGTGTAAAGATCTCGCTGACCCGTTCCATCGAGCGAGCTATCGTCATACAGGTTATCCTGATTATCTTTTACCTTGCCGTCATCAACAGAAATGTGAAGATACATCAGATAAGCATCGAATAAAGTATTCTCATGGAGAACAAGTTTTTGTAACCAAAGAAGCATCAGTGTCGCACGGTAATGAAAAAAAACTTAATGTTGATATGATCTTGATATAAGAAGTTGATTTTTTGATAGAATCCAGTGATAGTTGTGATGATGAAGATCTAATTCCTTGCAAATGGGGCACTAAATGTCGAGATATCGGAGATGAGCGGCATTGTTCAAAATATTCTCATCCTGCTGTACACAAACATGCTGATCACCAAATTCCTTGCAAATGGGGCAGTAACTGTCGAGACATGAACGATGTACAACATTGTAAAAAATACTCCCATCCTGATCCAGCGTCATCCGACGAAGATAGTGTAGCATCAACGATTGACACTGACACTGATTGAAAGAGACTTGATTTATATAATTACTTTTTTCAGAAGTTTGATTCTAATGATCCTGATGATTTTTATTTTGATAATTATTTATTACGAAGTATGAAAGAATAAAATTGATTACCGACATGTGTTTTGTATCGAGAAGACATGAGTATACTGATGAGAATTTTGATATATAAAAAAGGAGAACCGTTAGTTGGTACATCACACCCTCCTGACCTAGCTTTTTTATTAAATCGGCGATGGTATGCCGATTTGAAAACACAGAAAAGACAAAATGTTAATTCTTTGACCGATGATGATCGAAAATAGTCGGATATGGCCGTTGCGCTCCTCCTCCCCACTGGCTCGGATCTGCATAAACAGTGAGTTTCCATTTCTTCGCAAGCAGACTTAGAATAGATTGATCATGACGATGATCGTGAAACTCGGGATAGTTCGGTGGCCCTAACACATTTGCGTCATCAGTTATCACTCGACTATCTTGCGCATATGTCAACCATTCAGATACGAATCGCAGACTAGTAAAACTTCTTTTGACCACAACGAAAGAAGCAAGAGCAGCCAGTGTTGTGGTATATTCTGGTTTATCAGCGTTGAGAATGATCAATGCATCACGCTTCGTTAAAGCTGATTCCTGAATCGAAAGGAAATGAACCACTTCAATATTCATCTAACTTGTCTTACTTTCCAACCGGTCAGTTTGAAAAGAACAATATCCTGATTGGATGTGAGCTGTGTGAGATAAGAAACATTATTGATGAAATTGACAGCCGCATCTGAATACACAATAATATCTCCATCTTGTGCTAAGTAAAGTTCTTGCAAGAGAATAAATGGTTTCCACAGCCAGTAGCCAGCTCCTCTCTTCCGATTCAGGATATCTGCATTTCTGCTGACAAACATAGGATCGATATCTAAAATATGTTTGTTGAACATCAAACATTGCCGAATTCCAAACTTTAAACCGGTTAGACAGTTGCTATTTTGTGCATGTTTACAACATCGATGAGCAAAATTAATCAATAACGGGTAACAACGTTGTTGATTGACCTTTGTCGGATAATTGTGTATCGTTTGGCAAGAAGAAGAATTTAGAAATTTGAAAGTTATTGACCTTGGCGTTGTTTTGTCCTTGAGTATAAACTCCCATACAGAGAAAGAACAACTGACGAATAAAGCAAGAAGGAACAGAACATGAACAGTACGAGACGTTCGAAATAAATTCAATATATATCCGGCTGCTTTTAAGTATACTACGGGCGTTAACAAACACCACAGCCATTCTTCTACCCATTGAATTATCTTCCTCATGTATTTCATGACCCTTTGCTGTGTAAACATCAATGTCGTTCCACTAATAGGAAAATTTATTTAGAGATATGTAATTCCCATACGAATGGTAAAGTTTCTTCTATCATGATATTAGGGACGCATTTTTTACCACGTTGAAACTTACTTGTGTCGATTAGATCAAAAAAAAATGTAACGAGACATTGTCATTTTTTGCTCGTTTTATATGTGCGTTCATGCACGCAACACATATTAAAAAAAGGTATACAGAACAAGCATAGTATGTGTCACTGAATTTTGAACCAGTGAAGTGATATTTTATGTAGTTGATATCTCTTATTGAAGTTGAATAGTGCGTTTAAACACATCGTCATTGATGAGGTAATATGTGAATGATGACATTAAGAATAAGTAAATGTCTGACAAATTCAGCCGCGAATGTGCACATATATCTAGAATCGTTTCGTGCTATTAAAACGAAATGGAAATGTTAATTCATATCGAACAACATACGTGTTGTTTTCGTATTCAAAAATGATACGTATGTCTACTTGAACTATAACGGAGAAGATGTAAACGCGAGTGCACGATCTGTAATTTCATTCATACTCTCGCTTCCAGTATTAAAATAGATTGTGATAGAGTTTGATGGAAAATATTAGAAAGAGTAGCAAATGTTATGCATTTTGTGCTTTGAAAAGGAAAAATATCGAATAAATAATTTATATGCAACACGAACCTTCAATGATCAGTTCATAAGAGAAAATCGTCTTTTGTAAAATTTCATCAATAAAATTCAGCAGTGTTAAGATAATTACCATTCGAACTGACTCCACCAGCAAGCAGTACTATTCCACTAGGTAAAATCGATGCAGTGTGATAAGATCGTGGAATGGACATATTGATGTTGAGTCTCCATGTGTTTGATGACACGTTGTATATTTCAACGCTACTATAAAAAATATTACTGTCAAACTGTCCACCAGTGACTAATACGTTTCCATTTAATAAGACAGTTGCAGTGTGCACTTGCCGTCCAACATTCAAATATCCTCCCATTGACCAAGTATTCGTCGATGAATTATATAATTCAGTGCTGGTTATACCACCAGACCCGCTATTTCCACCAATTACTAGTACTTTTCCATTCATTAACATAGATGCTGTGTGAGACGACCGTGAAGCGCTCATACTTGCTGCTGACGTCCAAACACCAGTTGTTGGGTCATATAATTCAGCACTGTTGAGAAAAGTGCTCGCACCGCTCATTCCACCAGTGACTAACACTTTACCATTTGCTAATACAGATGCGGTATGAGCTTGGCGCGCATAAATTAAAGATCCTGTATATGTCCAACTGTTCGTCACCGGATCATATAATTCAGCACTATTTAAATAGTCATTACCTCCGCCAGCACCATTTCCACCAGCGACTAATACTTTTCCATTTAGTAATACCGATGCTGTGTGAGTATATCGTGCTGCATTCATGCTTGCTACCTTCGTCCAATTATTTGTTGAGGAATTATATATCTCAACACTACCAAGAGGATTATTATAATATCCACCAGTAACGATTATGTTTCCACCGGTCAAGAACGATCCCGTATGAAATTGTCGTCCGTCAGTCATACTTGCTGTTGCTGCCCAAACACCTGTCGCTGGATCGCACAAATCAGCACTGTTCCATGGACCATTTACAGCTCCACCTGTAACAAATACTCTGCCATCTACTAAGACGAGGGCGACATGCCGTTGCCGTGCGTAAGTCATATTTTTCGTCAGTCCTCCTGCAAATAGGATAAACAAGTTGGAATCAGTTATTTCGTTGCATTTAAAAGGAATTTCGAATTCCGTTCTTCTTAGCGCATTTAGCAAAAGGTCATAAGTATCAGAAACGATAACTAACCTGATGGTATTCTTGTTGTCGATGACGTAGAAGTTGTTGTGGACGTGGATGTGCTGGTTAAGTCTATTCCAAACAAATAAGTTTATTCATAAGATGTTCAAAAACTTTAGCAATTCTGTCATTAAATGAAAACAGCCTCCTAAAAGTATCTATCGTCAGTCCTATGCATTCGCGATTATAGAACCTTTTATCTCTACATAGATTCCTTAACTTAAAATGCACGACTAATGCATCTAATAGAAACGCATATCTCTTCATCCACGCGCCATAGCTTTTCGAGTTTGCACTTTCAACTAAGCTTTCAAAGAAATTATTTTTCTTTTACTACTATTCCCTTAATGTGAACTGACAATGTTTGTCTATACCTTTTATCTGTGTTGCATTCCTCTTGGAATCCAAGGTTAAGTAAAAAGCGCTAACATTATTTTGTACTTACCCGGCGGAAATTTTGTTCCTAAAATGACACTCATCGTTACGACATTCATTTCGAACGACATGTTTCCATTCTGATTAATGGAATTGTCGAATAGTTGACAATTGAGAGACACAGACCGATAGGTAATAGCTTTGCAACCTAATTGGCCTAAACAAGACATTTCACATTGACGAATGTTGGATTTGGCGAGATTAACAAAAGGAGCACAAGTTGTTTTCGCGCATTGAAAGGTAAAATTGACCACTGAAGACATTCGAACTGATCGTATATCACTTTCAATTGTTTGTTTGAAGAAGACAAGCAGAAATAAAAGACTACTTCTTGTTATCGACATCGTTAATAGAATGGCTTTGTTTAAAAAAAAGGAGGCCAAGCGATAAAAAAAAAACTTTCATCATCTTTTTCTTCTCTCTTTCCATCAGTTTAATTGTTCTACTCATCGACTTTGCTAGACCTGGTGTTCTATCAGGAGTTACAACACAAACAGAATCGATATTCTTGACATAAATTCGTTCGCTGTATCTCAAACTTTGCCAATGAGAATTATTGTCCATATACTGTATGTCCTAAATACGGTTGCACTTTGCCAACTTAATTATTTCAATCATAATAGTATGATGTTTTAACAAAAGATGAGATGATGGAGTACACGCTTCCACGCTATCCGCAGAGAATGATTCGAGAAAAGCAACTGACCTTTTTGTGGGTGTTCGAAAGATGTTGATGATGACTATCGTGGTGTTTGCTTTACTCTTCTCACACGTATTCTTAAGGAAAATATGTGAGATTAGTTGCTGACGCACGTTTTCTATTAAGAAATATGAACTGAGATTCTTTTTCTTTTTCACATTCAATTTAAAGAATGACAAACGTATTGCACGTTGTTTTAATTATCCAAATAATCATGTTTTCGATCATTACGCTATTACTGTTAATTTATCTTCTTCCGCTTGTCTTCGTTCGACGGTTTCATACAAGTCATAACATTCTAGTAGGTAATTTATGTTTAGCCGGTATTATCTGTTCTGCGTATTGGTTAGTGAATAAATCACTTCATCTCTACCGTTTGAACGTCTTTGACAAATCAATCGGAATGTGTATTTTCAATGCGTATCTGTCGCAGGCAGTTAATTTCCTGTTAGTGTACTCGTTGGTGATAATTATTATCAATCGCTGCTGTACGATTATTTATCCGAGTAAAAATTTATTTAAAAGTTTAGAATGGTCGTTACTATCGGCGTTTTTCCAATGGATTGTTTGCATTGTTTTGTCAATACCGTTTTTCATCGCATTTTACCGGGTAAAATGAACACATTGCGAATATCATCGATTTCATTCTAGTTTTTAGATGTGCACACGCGATAAACATTCAACACAAAGGATTTATTATTACAGTTTAATCATGACTGTGGTAGTTCCATCACTATTGAACATTATTTTCAACTCAATTATCATTTTCTCCGTTCGATCATCCACTCGACGCGTTCATATGACATTACCCATTAGAGACAACGCATATCAACAACATTCGCGTGATGTGTATTTACTTAAGCATATATTGTTTATCTTCGTCGTGTTTATGATCGGATGGGCACCAGTTTATATTGTACTTGCGATTGATGGAAAGACAAGAATACAAATTTGGATCTATTTGCTTTTGCAGATTCCACCGGTGATGAGTGCTGTGATTCAAACATTTGATTTGTTTATATATAATCGTGAAGTTCGCCGGTATTTACGAGAAAAAATATTCCAGCTTTTACATTGCATTTTCAATTGATGTTATAGGAAATGTCACCTGTCCATCGAATAAATATTATCTAGAATAGAATCGATTATTTGCAATATTAGATCATATATGGTTTTATATTTGATTACACATTTTTCTTTTCCCTTTGTTTTGGAATAGCAGGATTTACATGTAATAGAAAAAGCAACTTTTCTTGCATTCTACATGCGAATGTTTCCTTTGAAAACAGTAATTGCACCATCGTGAAACGTTGATTGTTGTGAGAAAGAAAAGATCGTGCAAAAAAGCTGCGATGCTCATACTCCGTGAGTTTACTGATCTGCTCTTGTTCGCTTTATTTTTCTAAGCAGGTTATTCTCTGAAGAAGCTCTTTATGTTAGAGATTCTATTAAAACGTTCTTCACGTATGCGGAGAATAATTCAAGTGAAATATATCATCTAAGAAATAATTCTTCGATTGCCTGTTAAACATTGATTTTTCTTCGGAATAAAGAAAAGATGTTCCCAATAAAATAATCCATCGTTTTTGCTCTCGACAGTTGAAAATATTTCGTGTTATAAGATTGTACAAGTTGATGATTGTTCTGGTGGCTTTTGTTCGATAGTATTCTCTTTTAGTAGTCGAGCCATTGCTTTAGCAAACCGATGGAATTCATGCGGTGGAAGAATCTGATCTCGATGTTTGTATTTAAAGATTTGTGAGTATATTTTTCGTTGTTCATATCGATCTTTTGATAGAATTTGTGCATAATCAAGCATTTCGAGTCCTGATCGAAATCGATATAAGTCATAAATTTCATCCATAATTCCTTCTTGTTGAAACCAACGACGAATGTCACTAGCTGCCCATTTGTCAATAGGAGGTAGGTCAACGGTAACAGATGAAGTTTCTTGTACCGGACTTTTGGATGGAACAAGTTCTGCAGGATTTTCGCTGTGCGCAGATTCTTTAAGAGTTTCATGATGTATGAGTTCTATAGGAGTTTCATGATGTATGAGTTCTATAGGAGTTTCATGTGGCATAGGGTCTGTAGAAGCATCACGGCGTACAGGTTCTACAGGAGCGTCATAGTGTACAGGTTCTACAGGAGCGTCATAGTGTACAGGTTCTACAGGAGCGTCATAGTGTACAGGTTCTACAGGAGCGTCATAGTGTACAGGTTCTACAGGAGCGTCATAGTGTACAGGTGCTTTAGGGGTCTCATGGTACGTAGGTTCTGCAGGTACCTCATGATGTACAGGTGCTGTTGACGATATGATGATATTTTTGTCGTGTGAAATTTCAGCTTGAATTCGTTCAATCAAATCTTTCATGTTCGACTCGTTCGGTTCACTCGGATTTCGAAATCGAACATATTTCATTCCGGCTTTTCGTATTCCTATATGATAATTGGAATATTTGGCATAGTTTAGCGAAAGAACTATCGACATACCCAGCCAACCTTTTGGTTTATAATCGCCAATCAAAATAGGAATAATAGGCTTTTGTAAATCATCAACAGCATAGATAAATTCTTGTCGACATGATTTACTTTGCTGATAGTATTCTGATATAAAACAAAGAATAACATCAGCATTTTCGATAGCATCGGCAATTTTTTCCCATAGATCTCCCGTCGCGCAGTGTTGAATATCAATCCAGACTTTCAACTTATCATTCATTCGTTCAACTTCTTTCAGAATCTGATAACAAAATTTGTCGTCCTTATGCGCATAACTAAACATCACGAGTGGTAAACTATCATCCGTTGTTGATCGATCTTTCTTATTAGAAAACCTAAGCAAAAACTAGTTCACATACAAACTCAACAAGAAGCATACATATCCGATTCTTTGATATCTTTAGTTTTACGATGCAAAGCTTTCTTGGATTGGTCCTCTTGTGATGTCGCATCCATGTGTAAATTGTAAAGAATACCATCCGCCGCCTTTTTTATGCTTTGCATAGCCCGAGGTTTGTATTGATCGCACGTTTGACTATGTTCATCCGTTGCCAATCTCTTGATAGTATCTATCAACTGTGTATTATTTTTCAATTCCTCTTGATATTCTCCTTGGAATGAAATACTCCAAACGATATTGTAAAGAGCGATGCACGAGAATTGATTGAGAGGATCTGTACTCGTGATTAAATCACTAAAAGCAATAAGAAGATCGGCAAACAGTTTCACTGTGGAAGCCTTGTTCAATGATGGCTCGGTTTCGGCATGCAACATTATGTAATCGACTGTTCGTTCATCTACTACGAATAGCTTTGCCAAGACACCGACGAGATGTGCGACATGATAACGAACATTTACGCATGTGAAATCTTCATTACCGGCAGCTTCCATAGTTAACTGTAATAATTGGTCGAGCACGGTGTTCATACCTTTCTGATCCTCTTTAAGTTGTTCAGGTGTTGATAACAGAGCTATGGCCAAAGAACAACATAACGATAGTTTATTGTTCTGTGCAATTTCGTCTCTAAAGTGAAAAAATATTGTTTTCTTGCCAATTCAGACATAATATTCACCTTCTTTGATACTGTTTGACGATTTCTAGAGCTCCGAGTTTATTATATTCATCGGCACCGTCATCATGCCGTGCCATATTGTAAATAATTCGAATAAGCGGTTCGGTTGCTTCTGCATTCAAATAACCCGAGTCACTCAGCCATTTCACCGCATGTTTTGGTAGATCGAGACGAATCATCGATGGAACGAGTATTGTACGATTGGCCATACACCAAAATAAAATCAAGATCTCACTTGTAACCCGATCAAATCCTTCATTTCCGGACGATAATTCACTAGCAACTTTCTTATCTGCATAAGCTTTCAAGTTGATGAAAAAAGGTATATAATCGTTGACTAGTCTATCATCAAACGGAACAAAATTACAAGCCGATATGCACAAGGCCATTGAAATATAGAAATAATTGTTCATAGTATTATTTTGGAACGTGCTAATGTCGTCGTTGGTCAGATGATGTCGATCGATGACAAGCACGGTTAACAAATCAAGAGAGGAATAGAACATTTCGTAGCAAAGAGGTCCATCTTTTTCTAGTCGATTTTCCAAATCTAAACCAATGAAAATTTTGTTGTAAAATATATACGAGCAATCTGCGTATGATGCAGCATCGCTCGCAGCCGCAGAATCGATCATATATTCCATCGCTGTCCTCCATAATATCAAAGCCTTTTGCCAAACATTTTTCATGTCGACATCGGCTATGTTTTTGCTGTTGATTATTTGCTTCACAAGTTCGTCTAGTTTTGTGTTATACTGCTCTATCACATCGGCGCATGTTTCCAATTGAACATCAGATTGATCAGTTGTCATGTTTTACTAAAATATACGAAACGAACTGTTGAGTACAGATACAATCTCGAATGAAAGGCGATTCATAACTATGTTCGAATTACAAAAGAATTAACGTATTCACTATGTGTAAAAACATGTTAGAATGAGATTGAAAAATATGAAAACAAACAGCAGACTGCGTTAAATTTCATTTTCGTCACTTAGTTACATTTTTCTATTCTGTTAATAACTTACTGTATAATACAATGTGTTGCAATCGATGGTATTGCTCTTGCGCAACTGTGTTGCAATCATTGCCGTTTTCTATTATTACATCATGGATGGACCAAAAACTCAATGGTTTACAGTATACTTCTTAGCTGAAACCTTCTTTTTGCGTGAGTATTTTCTTGCTCTATAGTTTAAACAGAAAACATAAACCAAATTGTAAATTGAATTCGATGTTACTTCAAGATATTTCAGTCATTGAACGAAATATAAGCAAATCTTTATTACCCTGTATTCTGTTTCCTAAAACTACGTTCGTATATAATGTGGCAAACACGCGCTCAAAATGCAGCACGATATTTATTCGGAGATTATAGTTAGTACAGGTAGGCATATATAAATTGTAATACGGATCACTTGTTATTCGTTTCGTTGCTTCATATAAACTCGATTAGCTCATTTCCGTATTCGTTTATATTTTCACAATAATACAATTTTTCTTCGTTGTCACCGGTGAGAAATAGCTCCACTTCACACATAGTTCTTTGTTCTTACTCGTCGGTTTGATATTGTCTATGCGGAATATACTGTGCACGAAAAATAGCACTTCATCCTCTTATGGAAATTGGCTAATGTGTTGAACTGGAGCAGATGGTGTGGTTGATTGTTTGGGATCAATTTTCATAACATATAGAATGTTCACTGTATCGCTGATTGTTCCGTTTGTTGGAACAAACAGTAGAAGATGTCGCGATCGCGACTAGTAGATATAGGAAAGTATTGAATGATATCAGTCGGCTTTTTGATTTCACCGGTTCATCAAAATCTTTTTTTACTAAATATTGACCACGATAAACTGTGAGGCTTTGAGCAAAAGAACCATATCGGCATACACACTGATGTTTATGAAGTTGTCTGGTATGTCGATGAAGATCACTAATGAAGAAATTCATAAGTGTGATTACATCTCCGTCCATGGTAAAACGGAAAATCGACAATAGGAATTTGGATAGCGGAATTTGGACAATATTGCCGGATGTAAAAAACTGCCTAGAGATAGAGTGAGGGTGCATATGAGGATGTGAGGGTGTGGATAGGTCTGGACAGTAGGATAATACATGAAAATTTGTACTGAAATACTCCTACGAAAGTCTATGCAGTTTTTCAAATCTGCAAGATTGTCCAAATTCCTATTGTTGATTTTCCACTAAACCGCAAAGATAACAGAACAGCTTGCAGCTTAAGCACGAACCTTTCCATTTCGAGTGAGACAACGATATCAGTACTGCAGTATCTGTCTCCCCTAAAAAGAATTTTTTTCAGTACGGTGCTGTTTACGAGCTTTGTCGGAACAAAAATATAATAATAAACTATAAAGAATCGATACATATAACTGCAGAAGAAGCACATGGCCAACTTGGAATAATTATAACATCAAGATCTGACTCGGTAATAAAATGACGCCTGCGATGATATTCTATCGCATATCAACCAACAAAAAAATGCAAAATATGACGATAAAAGATGTCGTCGACACGCCGAAGAACTTCAGATTGATTATCATCGACGATCGAATAGCCCACACGTTTTGGCAACGCTTAAAATTCAGTAATAAATTAACGAATTTGATTGACAATACAACACCATTAGGCTTCAATGTCCAAGGCCTGCTAAGAATTGAGTAGTGTCAACCTTGCTATGAGATTGAATAAATATCCCCCGGTGAATATTTCTCACCTCGCAGAGACGCACAATATGCTCGAAGTAGCGACGAACATGGTGAAAGAAAATCAGTCTGTGACACCGATCACTGTCGATTCGATATTGCTATCCACGTTTACTTGAACAGAAAATGAAAACAAGCGATGAAGTTGCCAAACCCCGCGATCTACCATCAGAAATGTGGCTCCATGTATTATTTAAGTATCAACATGAATCGGATGCTCGAGACTTCATTTTGAGGCAACTAATAAATGAGATCACGATGAAAACACGAGTACTTATGATATTGAGGGTATTCCCGACACAATGATTTCAGAATCTTGAGGGTCTAGTCTGTTTCGAATGCTAACTATCATATAAAGGTTATTGTTTGGAAGACTTGTGTTGCTATGACCTTTCTGAATTTGATATCACTACAATTTGTGATATTATTAAGCTTATAATCGTCTTATATTTGATTTTAATACACATCAATTGTCAGTTGAAAACTTACTTAACGAAGCACCATCGAATCGATATGAAACTTTCGTGTTAATATCGAACATTTAGCACAAGGATCCAATCATACGTTATGTCAATGTGATCTACCATCGAGATATATCGACCAATTTTCATTTCTGAATTATACTTATTTGTCTAATATGCATTTATCAGTTGCTCGAAACACGGATCATGTCTTTCTTTTAACTATGTGTATTAGAATTTCTGCTTTATGACTTATTATCAAGGTTATAGTTCGTTTAGGATAATAAATGAAATGAAAACCATTTTGTAAGCACAGCAAAATCGGAGGATAATAATTAATGAGGAACAATTGTTGTTTTCTCATCGTTTTCAATGAATCATTAAGTTTGCGACATTGTTCCTCGTTCTATCTTTTACTCTTGCCTGCAGTGCCCCTGCTAGGAAGAGGTGCTCTCTTTTCTACATCTATGACAATACCGACACCTATGTTCTGAGCCATGTCACGAATAGCAAAACGACCCAATGCTGGATAATCAGAGAACTTTTCGACACACATGGGTTTTGTAGGAACCAACTTGACAATGCCAGATTCACCTGCTTTGAGACATTTGGGGGTGTCCTCGATAACCTTTCCAGTTCGACGACAAACCTTCGAGATTAATTCAACAAACTGACATGCAACGTGAGCAGTATGACAATCAATCACAGGTGTAAAACCTTGACAAATTTGATTAGGATAATTGAAAACGACTATCTAAAAAAATACCATAAATAACGAGAGATTCGAAACACTTTTCATTTACTTGAGCAATAAAACTTGCAACTTCTTGTGCTGGATCATTGTTTGCATCTGAACAGACAAATCCACGTTGAATGTCACGGTAATCAACACCTTTAATACTAAAGCCAACATTATCCCCCGGACCCACTTCTACAACGCAAAACAGACACTTTCAAAGTATAAAACATGCTTTTCTTACCATCGAGAGTTTCATGGTGCATTTCAATCGTTTTAACTACTGCTGTCAAATATACTGGAGTGATATTCACTGCCATATCCAGTTTAATTATAACAGTTTCAACGCGTCCTGTATACGCTGTAACCAACTTATTGTCAGATAAGTGCAGAATCGGATAGATTATATAACGTACATAACGTCATGTAATTGCGCCGCATTGCGTGTGCTGGTGACACATGGTAAACTCGCATGAGTAGAAGAACAGAACGAAAGATATTTTATCCGTACCGTATGTCGTATGTAAAGTCGATGGTTGTGTGTGACAACATGGAAAAAAGATTGGATGGATCAGTATGTGATCTTTGCTATCCAAGGATAAAATTTCCATGCTGAATTAACAAATGAGAATCGATGCTGTGTAGCATATTAATTTAATTACTTCACTATACGCTTTGTCAATTGCTTCGGGATACTTCCTTTTCTTTGTTCGAGATTAAATACGCTTTTTAGTTTTAGTCAATAAAATTACAAAAATTTCAATACTGTAGTCATTTTATAACCAACTAATCAAATGAGAAAAAAAAGATTTCTCATGTAAAGATAAAGTAGCGAAAGTTCTGGCGTCCCTATTTTGCCAAACATTAATCACGTATTAATCGTCATGCATAAGTAAACACGTCACATCGGACGTACCATGACCGAAAAAGTGCGTTTTCGAACGATGAGTTACTATATTTAGGCGAGTTATTGACATCAACCCACATATTAGATTGGTGAAGTTAGCCTCCACAACTTTTCATTCTTACGTCAGAGCTCTCCAAAAAAAAGGTTATAAAAAGCAATCGCATTAGTAGTCCAGATCCTATCTCATAGATAAATGACACCCGACTTGCACGACAGTATCAAAGAATACCAATTCGACACAGTGATAGTTTTCGGTGACTCACTGTCAGACACAAATAATGTTTATACATTAACAAACGGCACATGGCCTACTACACCACTGTATTTTCAAGGCCGATTTTGCGATAGTTTCAATTGGGTAGACAATTTGCGAATATCGAACGTGAAGAATTACGCACATGGAGGTGCAACGACTGATAGTGCCGTAGTCCAGGGATACACAAAGTTAGATACAGTACCTGTCCCTGGTGTTCGTCAACAAATCAAAATCTATCTAGATAGTACAAAAGAACAAGATATTGACTTTGGAAAAACGCTTTACATTATCTCAGCCGGTGGGAATGATTTGGTTTATAGTAAAGTCTTAAATCCATTTGCAATAGTGAATCGTCTGTCCAATGCAGTCAATGATTTAATCGCTTGCGGTGCGAAACATATTCTTATTTTTAATCAACCGCCGGCTGAAACCTATCCATATGTTCAAGCTCTCAGCTATAAATTTGTTGTGAAACAGTTCACTATACTCTTCAATAGTATTCTTTCGTTTCGTCTTAAACAAATTCAGAAAAGTAATTCCCACATTTCCCTGAAACTCTTCAATCTGCATCTCATCATCAAGAGAGTTGTTGGCAATGAATCCGGACAATTTGAAAATACGACAGATCCATGTTGGGACATGGTGAATGACATTCCTGCTGTTTTGCAAAGCTCAGATCCATCAAAATATGTGTTCATCGACAAATTTCATTTTACATCCGGCGTACACAAAACAATCGCAGATGCAATTCATGAATTGATTTCTTCTGAAACTAATTCATTTGTGTATCCACCGCATTAGTGACCGAGATTGATCACTTCCAGCGTCACTCGCATCATCAACATTGTAAGTTGAGTCGCACGTTTTAATTAACTTTTGATATTAAAGTTCTGAAACTCTCTGCTATCAATAAAATCGCATACAAAAAGACAATTTCTCTGAAAGTGCTGTTTGCTTTTATGACATGAGTTAGGGGAGCTTACGATAATAAATGTCTTGTATCGCGAGAGTGCACGTGGATAAACATTAAGATCATTTCTTGTGTAATACAGAAAAAGCTTTCATTTCATTATGAAGGCATAAATTAGTCCTTGCAGCACACAAAGAGAAGAACAAAAAATTGTTGTTAACTAATGAAATGGCATTAGGATCAGCTTATATCTGATATCTGTGGTAAATTTTTACTTAAAAGTCCTAGAAACCGGATGCAGATGGAAAGATGAAAAATTACGTTATGGGTTATTCATGCATCTAACAATATCTACAGTTGATTTAACAGTTGCATGAGGCTTATCACAATGAAACAAACAGGAAACGAAATAATAAACGTTTTAAAAATCAAATCACTCTTTCTAAGATATTTGGTTTTTATCGTTTATTATATAAACCAAAGAAAAGGTTGCGATTTTTAAATACAGAAGCAACCAAATTAAAGCTCTATTTCGCTGAACCCGAGAGATACATAAATATTTATAACAAATTAGCTGTCCGGGCAATACTGTAACATTTCAGAAACAGTGCATAACGTTTCACAGCAAGCTTCCGTAAGTAATTTTCGTTGAGAATATCGACGATTACGAGCATGTGGACGTTTGTTGACTGAAACTTGCTGTTTTGTCTTCTGGATGACATTACACGCGACGCTGAGCATTTGTAAGAGACTAGCTCCACATGCGTGATAAGCTCGATCAAGTTTACAATGTTCAACTTTATAAAGTTTTCCCATCATTTCGATGTTTTGACCTTCGGTTAACGAACGTCTGCCGATATTGACGGTACAATTCGATTTCGCAGGAGACAGAATTGGCTTGCCAGAAACATGTGGATGAAATAAAACCAATCCCAATATCAAACATTGCATAGTAAATGTCATCATAACGATCAACGAAGTCATCGTAGAAGAATTGTGAGATGTGTTAACTACAAGAGAAAAAAAAAGAATATTAAAAATAGACTCCATTATACAGATTATTAATATTTCGATTCAGATGAAATTCTAAGTGAAAATATACTCATACTGACAGAAACGACAAGCATGTATATATATACGTTTCTGTCATTTATTTTCTTAGATAATAATGAATATTTGTTATAAAAGAGAAATATGTGTTTTCCTTTGCTCCAACAAATTATTTGTTCTTTAAGTCCTGAGGATGTAGGTGATTTTGCTCAATTTCGCTCTGCATAAGGTTTGATCAAATAATTTCATTTAAAAAATAATTCCAGATGTTCAAAAATCTGCCATTCCGAAAGGATAGTTTGCATATTTTAACATAGCCTTATTCACATGGACAAATATAATTATTGGCGATAACTTGACTCAATGAATATATAAAAAAAGAAATGCTGTCTATGTATATTCTGTCAGTCATGTGTCAATAAGCAGAGATCCATAAAGCTAGAAGTTGTTCTCTTTCTAATGAAAAGCGTAGTCGTGCACCAAGAACCTACTTGCTCGCGTTGTTTTAAGAATAAGAAAGAATGAAGTTGACTTGCTCACAAACACATATTGAATGTTCCGTCGGTGGATGAATGAGTATGTATAATTTTAGTATTTGAAAACAACACAAACGTAAGAAGCATTATTAGAGAATCTCGATAAATAAGAAAGAAATTATCAATTTGCAAGTCTTTCTAATGATATAGAAGATCAGTCACTTTCAAGAAGTTGATTTATTAATTCAACACAATTTCAATCGAACTTTTCAAACTATCGACGAGAAAAACAAGTTCGTCTTCCGTTATTGTATATGGAGGCGCAATCAACACATGATCTCCATTGACTCCATCAGCAGTACCCTTCGATCCAGGATATATGACGACTACGTGAAACATATATGTGTAATACAATCGAATAGAACAAAGAAAACACTTGCCTCCACGTTCTATACATTCCTTTATGATCGAATCAATGAATAAGAAAGTAGATGGATACATTTCCTTTGTTGCTTTATTTTTGATAAATTCCACCGACCAAAATAAGCCACGACCACTATTTCATGACAAAGAAGAAGGTTTTGTAATCAGTTTGCTTCAAAGAACTATCAGAAACCTACCGAATGTCGCCAACATGTGCATGATCAGACAGTTTTTCGTTAAGAATCTTTTCCAGAAACAGACCACGTTGGTGACATTGCTCGATTAATCCATCTTCTTTCATTATTTTAATAACTTCTAATGCAGCTCGACATCCTACAGCATGTGATTGATACGTATATCCATTATTAAATGCGCCTGAACCAGCAAGAAAAGCATTGACGACTCTGTTTGACATGAGAACGGCTGCGAGTGGGGCATAACCACCACCGAGTCCCTTGCCTAAAACTTGAATATCTGGTGGGGAAGAGAGACCTTCCCATTGCCATGCATGCATTTTACCCGTTCGACCAACGCCACACATGATCTCGTCAAGAACAAGTAGAGCACCATGCCGATCACATATGTCACGCATTGCTTTGAAGTAACCGGGTACTGCTGGAGTGCAACCACTTGTAGCACCGACAACTAAGAACAGAGAGCATACTTCGATTTTTATAATTCATACCATTCTGATTCACTTGTCTCAGCGAAAAAGGCCGCAACTGTATTGGGACCAAGTTCTTGGAATTTAGCTTCCAGCTCATCGGCGAGACGCTTGACATAGCCTTCGTCACTTTCGTTGTCCAATTTATAATGATAAGCAAAGCAAGGTGAAACATAATGAAAACACGATGAAAAATACGGTAGAAAAGGCGCGCGACGTGCCGTATGTCTACAAAGACCAAGCGCACCAAGCGTATTACCATGGTAACTCTGCTTTCGAGCGATAAAATTCACTCTTTCAGGTTGTTTGTTTTCCAAATGATACTGTCTAGTGAGTTTAATGGCTGATTCTATCGCTTCCTAATTGATATTAGCTCCTACTGACTTGAAACGAAGACAATAGACTAAACTTACAGAACCGCCGGAGACAAAGACTACTCTTGCCATTCCACTTTCTTCGATAAGTTCATTGGCCAGTTCTTCAGCTGCCTGAATCAAACATTCAATACAATGGTGAATATGTGCATATATTTTCATTGACCTTATTAGAAAATGTTCCGGAATGTACATAGTCAACTGTTTGCAATTGATCGAGAATGCTTGCAATGACACGTTTATCTCCATGTCCAATGCTTGTCACGGCAGCACCGCCGCTACCATCGAGTATTTTTCGGCCATCTTTAAGATAAATATAATTACCTTCTGCTCGTACAGCCAATAAAGGTTCATATGTAAGAGAACGATGGAAAACATGTGACGATGTCATGCTGAAAAACAAAATCGAATCAGTGTTACATTTTGTCTTCCACTGCAGTCTAAAAACAGCGAACAAATGAATATTATTGGCGATGATTTTTCGATCGAGGGGAATCGTTTGATTTAATCTACTCTCTTTGCATTGCATTGAGTTGAATACAACAATGATAAGGAATGGAAAGAAAGATAAAAGTAAAAAGAAAAAGAAAAATAGAAATGAAAGTGTATTTGCGTTTATCATATCGTATTTAAAAAGGCAAGTATATGAAAAAATATCGAGTGAAAACACGATTATTCTACAGTGATGTCAAAGACGAAGTTAACTTCAAGTTATTTTCATCATGCATCTTCATTTCAATTGACCTACCAAACACTGAGTCAAAGCTTTGACGAAATGGCTCGGAAATATGCCGATCACGAATGTTTCATTTTTAAAGGTACTTAAGATATTTTTCATATCCAATCGATCAGTAGTGCACTCTTCGATCAGGTGAACAAAAGCGTTACACATACAAAACATTCAAAGCTGAAGTTGATAATATAGCAGTAGCTCTTCTCGAACTGGGCTACGAAAAACACGATCGTTTTGCCGTTTGGCTTCCTAACACATCGGAAAACGTAACGATATCCTATGCAGCATCAAAATTAGGTTTAATCAAAGTAATCCTCATTCGAATCTTCGAACCTTTATTCATTCCTGTGTACTAGGTGAATATCAATCCAGCTTATCTCGAACGTGAATTAGAATATTGTATTAATAAAGTGGGTTGTAAAGGTATTCTTCTTTCGCCATTAGTGAAGTCAATCGACTCACTTTCCATCTTTCGTCGACTCGTGCCTGAACTTGGTCAACAATTATCGGGTCTGAATGAGCTCTCCGCTAAAGCAGTTCCTACACTGAAACACGTCATTTTGACCGGCGAACAGACGACTTCAGTACCGGGCACATATTCGTACGTCGATCTACTTAAGCTGGGAGCTCAACTGTCACATGATAAATTACGCGAACGACAAGCATCAGTTGATCCCGACTCCGCGATTGCAATCTTCTATACATCAGGCACAACAGGTCGTCCTAAGGCAGCGACATTGACTAATTTTGGTGTATTAAATTTGGTTCGTGCTCAATGGGACCTATTAAGTCCATATTATCAGCGCGTTTGTGTTCCCATTCCAATGTTTCATATTTTCGCAGAGATTTCAGGTGTTCTCAACGTTGCTGTTGGCAAGTGTCAAGTGATTTTTCCGGCTGTTCTGCCCGATACTGTGGCAACGATGCGCGCAATTCATGAAGAAAAATGTACAGCATTAATTGGAGCACCGATTATTTTTCGTGATATACTAATGCATCCAGATCGACAAAAATACGATCTTAGCTCATTAGCGTACGGAGGTACAGGAGCAACGACGTTAGAGTTTGATTTCTTACGTCAAATCGAAAGAGAATTTCCCATTACACGTATGGTGCAAGGCTATGGACTTACCGAGAATGCCTCTCTACTTACCAGTGGCATGTGGGCTGGAGATGATGATCCGCAACGACGATTAGGATCATTAGGCCGGTGTATGCAAGGAATGGAGATTAAAATCGTAGATCGACAAGGCCAAATCGTGCCCATTGGTCAACAAGGCGAAGTTTGGGCGAGAGGTTATTCAATCATGCGTGGTTACTACGGCGATTCCGAGAAGACGGCAGAAACATTGACACCTTCAGGATGGCTTAGAACAGGCGATGTAGCTAACATGGACGAAGATGGTTATCTTTATTTTATCGGACGTCAAAAGGAGATCATCATTCGTGGTGGTGTAAATATTTATCCGGTTGAAATTGAAAATACGATCATCGAACATCCGAGTGTCATGCAAGCACAAGTTTTCTCTATTCCCGATCGACGATATGGTGAAGAGGTGTGTGCTTGGATCATATTGAAAACGAATGTGTTACAATGTCGGGCAGAAGATATACAAGATTTTCTCAAAAACAAGCTAGCTTTCTTCAAGATACCCAAACATATACGAATCGTCGATAGATTCATTACGACACCGACGGGTAAAGTACAAAAATTCAAAATGTCTGAAATCATGACCAATGAATTGAAACAAACAACTAGCAAATTATAACTTCTTCTCTTTTTCGTTATGTAAACCAGTATCCAGTGATTTATAATTTTCTTAAAAGTCTCTGTAGAAGTTGTTGCTGATGTTCAATGCTAGTTTTTCCATAGAAAATACTATTGTTATGATGATCACGATCGACCAATGTTAGATCGAAATAGTTTTGTAAGAGATAACATCCAGCTTCGCTCACTGCCATTCCAGACCATTCAATAACAACCGATCGATTTTCTCCGTATGACAAAAGGCTTTCCAAGAAAGATTTCACTATTAACCGATAGACGGGTAACTTTGGATGTTTCTGATAATCTGGATCAACTACCATCGAACATATGTAAATCGAATATTTATCATCAATTCCATCATTCCAAGTTCTAATGTCATCATTTGTAATGTGTGTACGTTCGTCGAAGTCAAACTGAAGGGTTTTCAGAAAGGCTTCATGCTTCACTGGTATGACCGACATGTAGCCAATAAAACGACGATTTTCTCGCGCTATCCACCACATGAATGGATTGCGTTGATACCATCCAAGAAGTAAATCGGCCGAGAGAACGATCGATGATTGATAAACTTTCTTCGCTAACGATTCAATATCGACCATGGTCTGTTCAGCTTCGTCAGGTGGTATTATATGTGTAATTGATAATGAAGCAGTTGTCATAGTGGTCGAGAGTATCAACCACTACTTTTTATCTCAATAAATGACTACCACGAAGAACAAAATCTACACGTGTTTTTTTATTTCTTTTTCTGCCGTTTACCTGGTGACATTAAATGTAATCAATGTTTTTTTTATCCCTGAACCTTATCAAATAATGTGAATACTGCTCTATTTTCTTGTAATGCTTCTCAATGATGATGTATGCAAGAACAATTTAACATAGTATCATCATGTCATCGTGAAAACGCGCATTTTTTCTGATAAGTCAAATGTTGTTGTTATCAACGTGCACACACCTTGACTGAAATTATGAACATGAATTATGATAAGACAAGTATGTCTCAACAACGCATCTTACCATTAAATTCAAAACTTCTAGAAAAGAATTTTTATTAATAAAAAGAAAAAAACAGTGACGAATTAAACGTGTTGGAATAGTTTGCGTAAAGATGTTGGTCTGGTAACATTGACAAAAGCACCCATGCCAGGATGATAATTGCAACCATAATAAAAAGTGCCAGGTCGGGTAAAAACAGCAACAGTTGAGTCACCTGCCTTAGTTATTGGAATGTTTAACACGTCCGTTCCATTGGCATCTTGGCAGAATTTAGGTATTGGACTATTTCGACAAATGGTGAGTGGATGAATTGGAACATTAGTCTCTAAATCGAATCTCAACACATCACCGACTTGAAGAGTCACATTTGGACTAAGAGTACCATTTAAAGCGAAAGTATGGTTGAATCGCGATGGATTTCCTTCAGGACAAGTTAATCCTTGAACACATGCTTCAAATGTGGCTGTGTATGTCACAACTACTGTAGACACACTGTAGAACGATACAATAGCCAGTGCAACAACTAATAAACTCGACAAGGAAGACATCTGTGCGGCTTGATACACAATGAAATGTTTGAAATAGTATCATTGCAATGACTTATATACGTGTATGGACTTGCTCTCAGATAAATGATAAATGAAAAAATAATGCTGACACATGCGTTGCATGGTCATTTTTAGAATTATGTCAAGTCATTAATAAACGCAAACATAAGATATGAATGTGAGGGAATGAGACTCCTTTTATCATATTGTGTTCTTTTTTTACTTTCGAGAGAGGCATGGTTGTTCTTACATCCGATTTATTTCGTAAATGCATAGGAGCTCAATGTATTTTTCTTTATTTTGTCGCTCGACAAGAACGAAAACAATCTGTCGATAGGCAATAATGATCATTTTATTTTCTTGTCGATGAGGATACCACTCACTGAATATTATCATTATGCAAAAATAAATGAATAAAAAGTATACTCCATGTGCTCTTTTCTACTTGACTGCTCCGCGAACTAGTCATCCAGATGACGCATTGAAAAGAGACGATAAAATATATACGATCGAAAGCCATCAGTTCATATCTATATTACATACATGCAGATGAGTAGTATTTCAGTCGGTGATGCTACTCGCTCACTCGACGGGTTAGCTGTTGTGGAGAAGCCTTCTTCTGAAATAGTGGGAAGAGGTGTAATGAACTACGATGAAGATACAATAATCGCTTGTGCACAAAAATCGTAGGTCTAATCCTTTAGGTCGCATACATTTTGTCTGGTATTTTCTTCTCAGAAAACCTTGTTTCAAACCACTGACGAATTCAACGGTCGGTATCATTGGATATTGTATGTTTACATGCGTTGTAATCGTCGTCGGTGTTCTGATAGTTTATTATACAACACCAGAACCAGCAGGTACATTTTTCTTACACTCAAAACAGCTATAACGTCGAATCTTTTTTTTTCTTCAGTAAACACATGTGGAATGACTTTTGCAGCAACAGATCAGAATCCTATCGAATATGATAATGGACCCCGTTCAATCGTTGCTGCTGATCTCAATTCGGATACNTAACGACGTATGCGACTGGTTCCGGGCCATGGAGTGTAGCTACTGGTAATCTTAACAATGATACTTATCTAGACGTCGTTGTCACAAATGCGAATACTGATAGTAATGGCAATTCTATTAGTATTTATTTCGGACAGGGCGATGGCACTTTCAGAAATCAAACAAAATATTCGACTAGCAACAGTCCACAGTCTGTGTTTATTGCTGATATGGATAAAAACAACCAATCAGACATCATTGTTGCTAATCGTCGTAATAATTATATAAATGTTTTCCTCGGCTCGGGTACCGGAACCTTCGGGAGTTACAGATTGAGTTTCAATAAATATAATCTAACATCTGAGGCTGTCGGCGATTTTAATAATGATAGTAACATGGATATAGTCGTTGGCAGAGATACCTCGAATAATCTGGATGTTTATTTCGGCTACAGTAACGGAGTTTTCGCTAACCAGACGACCTATTCCACCGACGGTCCAGCATCATTTATCGTTGTTAACGATGTCAACCATGACAATCAACTGGATATTGTTGCTACTACGGCGAATAATACCGTGAACGTTTTTCTCTGCTCTAATAACGGAAAGTTTGCCAATGCTACTATATTTGCCGTTGGTAATCTGCCACAATCGCTAGCGATTACTGATTTCAATAGAGATCAACATATGGACATTATTACTACCAATACGGGCAGCAACGATATAAGTGTTTTATTAGGAGATGGCACTGGATGGTTTCGACCTCAACAGAGATATAAGACAGGATCGACACCTTTTTCTGTCGCAGCGGCAGATTTCAATAACGATGATTTACCTGATGTAATTGTGTCGAATCCAGGTGAAAACAATATTATGGTGCTCTTAGGTACCACCAATAAAAATTTTGATCGAAAAACAACACTCACAACTGGCCAAGGTTCTCGACCACGATCTTTAGTTGTTGCTGACTTAAACAACGATGGTCAAATGGACATCGGTAGCGCCAATTCGGGCACTGATTGTATCAGTATTTTTTTCGGGTCTGGTAGTATGACTTTCACGAACCAATCGATATACTCGACTGGTGCAGATTCATCGCCCTACTCGATAGCAGCCGGTGATTTCGATAGAAATAATCAATCAGATATGGTAGTTGCCAATTATAAATCTGATACTATTGGCATTTTCCTTGGCTATAACAATGGTTCATTTACAAATCAAACAACTTACTCAACAGGTTCATCTTCATCGCCTTATTTCGTAACTGTTGGCTTGTTCAATAATGATTCGATACTAGATATAGTTGTTGCTAATTATGGAAACAATAAATTAGGAGTTTTTGTTGGACATGGTGATGGAACATTTGAAGATATGATACCTCTCCCGATGGAGTATGGATCTCATCCGTTTTCTGTAGTGACTGGTGATTTTAACAATGATAAAAAAGTGGATTTTGCTGTTGGAAATAACGGCACAGACAGTCTGACAATACTTTTACGAACTTGTTAACTCGAAATTTCTTTTATATTTTTCGTTTGCTTGATTATATTTATGAAAAAGAAAGGTTTTGTTCTTGAGTTCAAACACTTCGGAAGTTTATGCTCGTCACTTACATCTACCACGTAATCAACATTTATTCATTGATCGAGACATACAAAAACGTGGTAATCTCATAAGTGCGTCACAGAGAGAACGCCCTCACCCATTCACACTATTATTTACGTTTCTACCTTGTTATTCATTCACGCTTACAGTTACCCAATGCTTTATCTCACAATTTTATTCTTTTCAAGCTTCAACAAATACTTTCTTCGGAAAAGTCTGCGATTTTAATTAATCGTTTATTCAAAAACATCACTTCACATAACACTGTTCTGAAGTTTTATTAGCACTTGATTGTGGCACTTTTCGAAGTTCGAACGGTCCCTCATCATTGCATTTGTTAGTGTGAACTGCCCATTTTCCGATGAATAAACTTTTTTCTCTGCTCCATTCTAAATTAATTTTAACTTCATATCCGAAGTTCTCTTGTACATCACCAGTACCTCTATATACTTTTTAATTATATTCACAGTAGAGAATGTTAACGATAAAACAACTCACTTATCATTAAAGCCAAAGTAAGAATATTCTTCGACTTCACAGTCACAATTGTACTAACAGTTGATTCAATCGCTGCGTTAGAATTTTTCTAGATGTTCAACAGATTCTTGTTTGGAAAATAATCGACAGTCGAGAAAGAAGTACCATCAGCTTTCGATCTTGTTTCTCGAAGTTCGACCAGTATGGGCACGCAACAGTTGCGAGCTGTTGAATCAAAACGGGTGCAAGCATCATATGTGTTCTTTTCATTCAGAATTTAATATTTCGAAAGAAAAAAGTTACTGTTGCTATTTATATTATAAACGTTGGACAAGAAGACGACGTTCTTTGCCATACTTCTCATTGGTGCTTGCGTTATCAGTGTGTCAACAACTTTGAGTGTTTTGGTGCCTATATTTATGATAGATTCTCACACGATGAGTAAATGAATCAAAATGACCGTCTAGATCCCAACAGGGGGCTCATATAATTTTACGCTTTTTAGCGACAAGAACAAAGTCCACGACATCAAGTGAGTTCTATATTCAGAATGTCAATACAGAGTGTAAATCATAGTCTTATAGTCAAATCAATCGTCATGTTTTTTATATTTCTTTACCCTAACAAAGCAACTGGTCAATTAACGATTTTACAGTGAACAAAAATGTGAAAAAATCTCACCGATTTTCATTTCAATCAATTTAAGTTTATTTACAAAATAAGATGATGAAATCAACTAAGAAATGTGCATAGGGATATCACCTTCATTGTTAATATCTATTTCAGTTGGAATGAATTGTAGATTATTTAAATTTTCAATTGGACGTGTCATTGATCCTGAATGTCGTCGCGGGGTAAATTCGATCGAGTCACCTAAATATAACGGATAGAATGGTTCCACTAAATTCGTATCAGTATTCGCCATGGAAAATGGATTTCTATGATTTCTGGAGTTTAAGTAGCGTCGTTCATCTTCATCTGCCCATGTATAAGCGATACTCGATGAATTCAGTTCGCACATTATCGGAGAATGAAAAATAATCAAATCCATTGATCGATATTCTGTTCGTTGATCATTGGTTGAATAACAAGAAATTGTTCCTGATAAGAGAAGTAGTCGTTGATTTGGTTCAAGTTTAATCGTTACATTCGATTGATTTTTGTAAAATATCGCTTTCTCATTTAGGAAAGCTTTCAGTTGTGAATGATTTAATTGTACTAAACTTCGATAGTTATTTGTAATCACATGTGCGGTTATTTCATTATAGATCGAACGAGATATTTTCTCGTCAGATAATAAACTATGCAACACCGCTGCGTCAATCACAAATGTTTCCACGAGTCCACAACTTGCATAATAAGTTCCATTCGATGAGGATTTGTTATTAAAAAAGGCATCAGCTCCGATAATATTTCCACATTTATAATAAGTAGTTGATGTGCCATTTTTATGTTGAACAAGACCACGAATAATAAGATAAGCATTCGTAACTCTTTGATCTCTTTCTAAAAGATTGCTGTCGGGTTGAAACCATCGATGTCGAGATTTGAATAATGTTTCCCATTGATCTATTTCGATCGATGAAAGTCCTCGAAAGTATCGAAGTAAATGAATTGCTTTTTCGAATCCTTTCTTTTGATTTGTAAACACGCGGATCTTTCCATATTCGAGGTTGAATAATTTGTTCTCAATCAATTTCAATACGTGTGAATATTCATTATCTGCAAGAATACCTGTTTCATACAACTGAATAATCGCAATTGATTCATATTTCAGAAGCATCTGAGCACATCGTCGTGTCATTTGAACAATCCAACATAATCGATAGGATTGTTTCAAGTCCAAGAGAATATACATGGCATTGATTTGATACATCTTCACTTCGTCACAGATTTCATCCATGATTCGCTCGTTCAAATTACCCAGTTCGGGAAATTGTAAACGAATATTATCAAGTCGAGTTTTAGCAGAATGAAAACCTAAAGTACACAACGATTCTTCAGATACTTTAGAAAACATCTCAACTTACTCAAAGTCAATTCGATCGTTTGGAAAATATGATCGAAGAATAATCCGTCTGTCCATTGATTAATACAACGAAAACGATCAAATTTGATGAGATATCGAAGAAAGATTGATAATCGAAAATGTTCAAGAATGAGTTTCCAATGAAGTTCAAGTGAACATTTTTGTTTAGCTTGTTCGACTGATTTAATGAGAATATTGAGTGTTTTTCGACGAATCATACCCAAATACCATTGTTTCTCATAATCAATCGCCATCGCCGTAAGGAAACGAGTGATTAATTCATTACGAATATTTTCACCATGGTGATTGGCATCTGTAATTGGTACAACGAAATCTTTTGTCTTGCCTACAGTGGGATTTGGTTGTGAATCATAATCCAAAGGTGTAGTTTGATTAGATGGTTGTGGAGCTGACATTGAGGAACTTTCCATTGTCACTCGTGACAATTGTTGATGGTAATTGGTGTGATTTTCTTCATCTAATTCTTCCAATAGTTTGTCAGGCAAGTATTCGGTTAAGTTAGTCCAATCAACATCTGCGAACTTTTCGTCTTCTTTCATTTTCGTTAATTTCCACGATGTTTGTCGTCTGACATGTTCGAATGCTTGTAAAAGAACAATCTCACTTTCTTTTGTACCTAAAACAATACAATTTGAGTTTAGCTAAGTTCATCACTTGATCGAATTACCATGGTGTAAGCCTAAAATCTTCACTAAATATTTGCTACTTGTTCCATTAATAATCAAAGTCAATAACACAATCATTGAGATATGAAATAGAAAACGATGACGTGTGATTGTTTCGATTTCTGTATCTAGACTGACGATTAATACTAAGATAAGTGACATGCTACCACGTAAACCACTCCATGTTAGAATCACACAATCCTTCCATGATAAATGAACGCCTGAGCACTTCATTAATGGATATAATATGATAACTGTTACAAGACGTCCTACATGGATCATAATATACAAAACAACGGAGAATCCAAAGTCTTTCGCAGAAATGTCAGTAGCAGTACCGATGAATAATCTAGCGAGAATAATACCAGTGACAGTAAAGATGAGAACATTGATAAAATAAGTAACGACTCTCCAAGCACTTGCCATAGCAGGTTGAACATTGCTGCTGATACAGTATTTGTATTTGCTCATGTATAAGCCCATGAAAACAACAGCAAGGACGGCTGACACACCCAATTCCACATCAGACACGTAGAATATCAAATATGCCAGAGCGAATGTAAATGCTATTTCGATTTCTAGTTCGTTATTGATTCTATTTAAGACAAATACACTTATTATTCCACAAGCCAAACCGAACGCGGGACCACCTAAAGATTTCGATCTGGATCTTCATTACGTCTCTGTTTAACACTAACTTACCTATACTGTACTTGACAATGTCCACAACGATCTTTTTCGCACCATGATTGCCCGTGACAAGTATATCATGGAAGATGAGAAATATCACAAATGCTGAACCATCATTCAGCAATGATTCGGAGTCGATCAACGCAGCCAGAGATTTACTTGCACCAGAGTCATGCAGCAGAGCAACAACAGCGATTGGATCAGTGGCACTTAAGATACTTCCAAACATCAGACCAACTAACCATGACCAACCGTATGGAAAGATATAGATTCCACATATGGCGATAACTCCAGTAGAAATAAACACGCCAGGACCAGCGAGAAGAATAGCTGATAATAGTTGTTGTTTGATCACATGAAAGTGACCATTAAACGATGAATCGAATATTAACAGTGGTAAAAAGATGTAATACATCAAGTGAGGATTGATTTGACTTAATTCGATTTCACCATACAAGAAATCATTACCTGGATCATTAACGCGTGCTGCAATAATACCAATGATAAAGCCAATGAGAAGAACAACAACCGTGAATGGCAGTGGAATTTTATTTTTCAAAAACTTGGATAATATGATTTTGTATATACATGAGGATAAGACTGAAAATGAGAGAAATAAGATAACTGTGCTTGATTTGGAGTCACTTTCGGAATGATTGTCGACTGTAGAATTCATTTATTGAAATAATCTAAAAGATGTAAATATAGTTGTCAAAATATTTTACGATACCTGTGCAGAGAATTTTCTTGGAAAGAAAAATGTTGATTTGTTATATGTTACGACGTCAGTGTCATGAAACATGTATGCAAAATAATGACGCGATCTTTCGTGTTTATACTGTTTAAAAGCTTACTTATCTTTATGTTTTAAGTTGATCTTGAGTTCGACGGGACTATATTTTGTTCTCATACTGGTTGTATCAACATATTTTCTGTCGCTCAGATCGGCGCGTAGCATGAGATAAAATTGTGAAGGGAATTGGTAATAGGATGCAGTTAATCACATTGATCTGACCGGCTAAGTACTCAGTTAGTCAAGCGGTTGCCTTCGATTTGCCGTCGGCTTCAATGTAGCTTGTAGAGTATAGATTCCTAAAGATTTAGTTGGAGTTTATATAAAGAAACATAATGGTGACAATGATGTCAAATGTATAGAAAAATATAAAGAAATGTATTCGAAAACAAAAGAAAACATTGATTACTATCGCAAATGAAAGACCCAGTGATTCTAATGAAATAGAATTTTTTTTGTATAGATCTACATTTGCAACTCGTCATTGTCGACAAGAGAATCAGCAAAAAATAATTCGGTGCAAATAGAAATTACTCAGTAATGATATCTCGAAAATATCGACGCGAATAAATGTCTCATAAAATTCAACGAAAAAAATAGTTTACTCACTGATCCATGACAAATAAAAAAAAACCTATATACATTGAATGCACATTAAGGTGTCGAAAAAGCGAGGGACCGCAAGAAAAAATGTACACGTGATCTGAATTTTTTGTCATAGTATTTGTCTTTGTGCTAAGGCGTTGCTTGTAATGTTTTGTTTGTTTAACCTGCAGGTAATCGAAACGCAAAGATGTGAACAGCAAAGATATCAAAAATGATAATTGTAACAAAAATTCAAATAACTATCTGTGCCTTTCAGCATGATGACATCATTCGCACATTAGTGATATAAAAAGACACATAGTGGAACAACCTAAGTTTACTAATCCTATGACTGGATTTGATATGTGCATAGTGCTATAGCACAATATAGATGAAAAACAGTGGTCATTAAATTTTCAACAGTTGACAAGTATTTTTTGATGCATATCCACGATCATTATGGACGATGCGG